GCTGTCGTAGGGGTCGCACGCGCTGTCAGGGGCTCGCGCGCGCTGTGGCAGGGGCTCGCGCGCGCTGTGGCAGGGGCTCGCGCGCGCTGTGGCAGGGGCTCGCGCGCGCTGTGGCAGGGGCACGCGCGCGCTGTGGCAGGGGCTCGCGCGCGCTGTGGCAGGCGCTCGCGCGCGCTGTGGCAGGGGCTCGGGCTCGCGCGCGCTGTGGCAAGGGCTCGCGCGCGCTGTCGCAGGGGCTCGTGCGCGCTGTCGCAGGTGCTCGCGCGCGCTGTCGCAGGTCGCAGGTGCTCGCGCGCGCTGTGGCAGGGGCTCGCACGCGCTGTGGCAGGGGCACGCGCGCGCTGTGGCAGGGGCTCGCGCGCGCTGTGGCAGGCGCTCACGGGCGCTGTGGCAGGGGCTCGCGCGCGCTGTGGCATGTACTCGCGCGCGCTGTGGCATGTGCTCGCGCGCGCTGTCGCAGGTGCTCGCGCGCGCTGTTGCAACTGCTGAGCACAAGCACGCTTTGCAGGCATGTGTGCATGCACGGGTACATTGGACAGTGGACAGTGTCGTGTACTACGACTACGACTACGACTACGACTACTACTACTACTACTACTACTACTACTACTAATACTACTACTACTACTACTACTACTACTACTACTACTACTACTACTACTACTACTACTACTACTACTACTACTACTACTACTACTACTACTACTACTACTACTACTACTACTACTACTACTACTGTGCAGAAATGCACCCAGAAGTTCAGAAGCTTTACCTCATGCATCAGCGCAAACCCTGTGCACAGGTGGTCGGAAGACTTACCTTTACCATTGATGTCTTCACATCCGAGGCGAAACCGCCCCAGAAGTTCAGAAGCTTTACCTGATGCATCAGCGCAAACCACCACCACCACCACCACTACGACTACGACTACTACTACTACTACTACTACTACTTCTACTACTACGACTACTTCTACAACAACAACTACTACTACCACTACTACTACTACTACTACTACTACTACTACTACTACTACTACTACTACTACTACTACTACTACTACTACTACTACTACTACTACACACAGTGTTGTATATTCCCTCTGGCAACAATATATTCACGACATCATTTTTGAGCTTGCCCTGCCCCACCCCCATTCCAATTTGCAATCTGTTTTCCGGCTGCTTGCTGCTCCTGCTTTTGCTGCTGTTGCTGTCCACTGTTCACTGTTCATGGTCTTCAATGCTCACTTTAAATCCTGCTTTCAAAGCCCCTTTAAGGCTCCCAAAACGAAAAGGTCAGAAGGTTAGATACCAACGAACGGAAGGTCAGTTGCTTTGAACAGGGATTCAAGTAGCATAAAAAGCACTAAGCACAGCCACAAGACCGTGGCACACACAAAGGAGGCAGGCAAGCAGCGCTGCCGCACATAGCAGCACCAGTGAGGTGTTGCACAGGCCACAAGCAGTGGCATTCAGAAGAGAGCCAGCCCCGGCGGAAGTGGTTGCAAGGCTCAGGTCACAGAAACGGTCAACCAAAAGCCAAGGCCTGTGCACATCAAGCAGAAAACCAGCCAGCACTGAGAAGCCGCATGACAGCAGCTGCACACGGGAACCCAGGGCAAGGCCTAAACCAACACAAAGAACCCACACCCTACGGAAGGGACCTTCGTGGCACGAAAGTCTTTCAGCGGCAGCCGCGGCGATTCTGACAGTTTTGACCTCCCAACGGGCCCGCAACGAACCTTGCATCCTACGCTCGCTCCATGCAGTGTCTGGCAGCCACATCCGCCGACTCGTTGAGAGCACGAAGAGTCGCGCAGAGTGAGGCTCAGGCGGCACTCACTTCAGTTGTTTCCTATGAGACGGGACCCACAAGATTGCACACGTGAGGCCGTGGAAGACCTACCCGGCCCTGCCCTTGCAAATTTAACCAAGGCAAAGCTCCTGCAATCACTCCGATCGCAAATCCGTAGCCCTGCACATCAACGACCGCACAAGCAGTAAACCCACAGCCACCCAAGCGCAGGATTCTTAACCACGTCCAAGACGCAATGAAACAAGAATGGAGCCAAACTCTGCTACGGCTACGAGGCTTTTCGGACTCACTGTTGGAAGATTCGTCCTCATCGCTGCCGCTGGCGTCTGACGCCTCAGGTGTGGGATTCTGCGGTTGCTGGCCATTGCGCCAGCAATGCTTGCAGGCGACATCATATTCAGCCTCCTGCAGTTCGTAGACGGGCACCATATCGTGCAGGTCGTCAGGATCGGTGCCGCAGCCGCCCCGTCTATGCAAACGACGCAGTCTTCGTTTGCCAACCACAGCAATGTAGAAAGGAGGATTGTCAGATTCTTCGTTCAGATCCGCGACTGCAACCACTTCCATCGACTTTTCTCTCTCTCTCTCTCTCTCTCTCTCTCTCTCTCTTCCGTGCCATCGACTTGCTGTCAACCATCTGTGGAGCCAAGTGGTGCGCTGCCAAGTCTTCATTGCCTTGCTCAGCTAACTCTGCATTAAAACCTAAACGAAGTCCAGCATCTGGACCCAACTGCAACAAAGCCAACTGGGCCGACGTAAGGAAGACCGCCCAGTCACACAGACCGCCGTTGACCAAATTCCAGCGTGTGTCTTTGCGCACTCCTTCCAATGCCTCCTCTTGCAGAGTAATTACTGCATGCTGCAATGTGCGGACATACTCGTCCGAGGCCGTGACAACCCGACAATGCCCAACAAAATCGCGCTTTTCGGATGGTACTCCCAGCCTCGCCAAGACGGAAACAAGCCAATTTCTTTCCGAATGCTCGGTCCAGAATGCTAAAGCTTCCGCTTCCACAAGGAGATTCTTGTCCGACTGTCGCCAGCAAACACCATCCCAGACAGGCTGCTTCAGATGCTTCAGCAAACGCTTCGAGAAAGACATCGTGCTAGCATAATCCGACATGCGGTGGATCGCCGCCGAGGCAACTGCATTTGGAAGGGGCAAAAGTAATCTCGCTCAAACCACATTTCCGCAGAAGTCCAGATTGACCGCCCTGTCGATAACCACTTAGAATTCGTGAAGTAAACGCAGCTGCTGATGAAAATCGGAAGGAATCGGTCACGCTTCCCCGGCCCAATTGCTTTCGTGCGGCCAAGCAAACCTGATAACCCATGTTCTCTCAGACGAAGTGACGTGGGAGCGAGGCCGGTCACGTCGCCAGAACGACTTGCAGTCCAGAATTTTCCCAGCTTATAAAACCCCAGCACATCCAAAAGAGACACAGGCACTGCGGCACAGACAGGCTCAGAGACACCAACATGCACACACAAGCACACAAGCGTGCGGTGGCCATATCCCATCCTACCATGCCGCAGAATACCAAAACACACACACACACGCGCGCTGACACGTAGACACGGACAAATACAAATGCACACACACACACACACACGCGCGCGCATGCACGCACGCGCGCACGCACGCGCGCACGCACGTGCACACGCACATGCACACGCACACGCCGCGTACACACGATCAACGTTGTCTCCAAGAAGCTCTGCTCCTTGCCTCCAGTGGGAGGCGGGCGCTGGGGCCAGCCAAGCAGCCTGCAGAGGAGCTGCGAATTGGGCAAAATCGGCAAAAGGTCCAAGGATAAGCAGCAAGTTGAGGGTTTCAAGAGCTTCACGACTTACATATAGCTTACTACTACAAGGACTCCGGCTGACTCAGGTATGGATTTGGGCGCGGCGTTACAGCCCAAACGGAACCCGCCTTCACATCCTCCGCTCCGTCGCACACTCTTGCGTCAAGGAGCTTCGCGATATCCGCCTGAGGGAATGACAACTTCGCGCACGACAAGATAAAGCAAAGGTGAACTCCTTGGGCAAAATGTCGACCCTGGCTTCCGAAGATTGATGGGTAAGGTACTGTTTCAATCAGCTTGGAACAGCGCACACGCACGAGCCGTAAGACTTTTTGGAAGCATCTCACACCCACCAAAAGCAAAACGCAAGATGTCAAAAATCTCTCAAAACAGCACTGTTGCTGGCAAACACTTTCTGCGGCCACGAGAAGCACGTTTAATTTTCTCAGAACAGGACAACTGATCCCCCACCCTTTCGATGCCCCATGCTATCCAGCACCTGCAAAACTTCACGCCTCCACATAGCACCAATCTAATCTATCCTTGACCTGAAGATAAATGTAAATTTTGATTACCAGTAGCAGTAGCAGCCTTGATGTCCACTCGGAGGTGTGAGCAAATGTCTCGCAGTTCTTTCAACAGTGCATGGTGGAGCACGGAGGAGTCGTTCAGCTCCTGTGCCACGGTTGAAGGCGCAAAGTTTCAAATCCAAACGTTGAACTGCATGAAGCAGCCACGCAGTTCGGCTATGTTATGCTTTGTGACGACTTTGACAGTGCCTGCAGCAGCACTAACGAACGGCGCGGCTGACTCGACTAAGTAAACCTCTTTGGCAGGCAGGGCCCCGCCAAGCAAAGCAGTCACACCACATCACAACGCTTCACGGAATCGAAGATCAGTCGCTTGCCAGCCACTGCCGCCATGAGCTCCGAACAGAGCTTCTTTCAACACTCCCCATGAACTGCTGGGGACTATCGATCATGGCGGAGAATAACGCATGTTGGGTTGCTCTTCCTGTGCCTTCAGCAGCTCATGCGTGCCGCTTTTCTTCGACCCATGGCCGCTGGCTCCTTCATGCATGCCAGCATCTATTGCGCGTCGGGGTTACCAAGCTACCAAAAGCTCTTGCGCCAACAGCCGTAGTTTCAACCACCGATGATGCAAAGGGAATTGTCCGTAAGACAATGTTTTGAGAACCGATACTCCTGGGACCTTAGCAGATTCAGATGTTTGACGAGATTGGCTAACTTCTTCTCTGTTCCAACAGGAGAAGATGAATAGTGAGTTAGGTCTCCGATCAGCTATAATTGAAAGCATCTATGTCAGTGTCTCATTCCCTGAATGAATGCCGGCAGGGCAAACCTGCGAAAACAGTTTTCAGCGGCCGCCCTTGGCTCCAGCCTGAAGTAGTTGATGCACAATTTTCACATGGCCTTTGCACGAAGCCATTGACAAGGCTGTCGCACCGTTTTCGGCTACCTCATCTAAAGTGGCTCGGGCCTGAATTAAGAGCTGCACGACTCCTACATGGCCTTCCTGGGCAGCAAAAAAAACTGCTGTCGCCCCATTGGCATTTGCCTTGTTGACAAGTGCACGAGCACGAAGCAGCCCCTGTACAATCTTCTGGTCACCCCTGCAAGCAGCGATCGAGAGGGCTGTGGCGGCATTCTCCGCTTCCTTGTCAAGATGGGCACGGCGAGAGATAAGTAGCTGGACGACTGAGCCGTGACCTCGCGACGTAGCCACAGACAAAGGTGTATCGCCATCCTGACCGCATTGCTCAATGCTGGCACCGGCATCAATGATCTGCTGCGCGACTTCACGGTGGCCCCTTTTACAAGCGACCATGAGTGGCGTGACCTTCTCCGTCCTGATATCAAGTCTGGCTCTGGCACGGACCAACATCCTCACGATGTCAGTCCAACCTTCGTAAACAGCAATGAAGATCGGCGTCGGCTTGCCGTCCTCGCATTTCTCGATGTCAGCACTGCACTTCAGCAGCGAACTCACAACCCTCTGGTTTCCCGTTCTTGACGCCACAAAAATGGGCGTCTCACCTTCGCCATCGGGCCGATCGAGGTCGGCCCTGTACTGGACGAGCAAAGAGACCACAGCCGCGTCGTTGGCAGGACTTGCGGCGGCATTCAACAAAGCCGTCATCCCCTTCGAGCTGGCCTGGTTCACATCTGCCCTCGATTTCAGCAAGAGCTGTGCTGCCTCACGGTTCCCTCGACCGGCAGCTGCGTGCAAGGCACAATTGCCTGCCTCATCTGCCTTGTTCACATCGGCTCTGGCCTGGATCAACTTCTTCCGAATTGCCACATGGGCAGCAGACCTGTGCAAGCAAGCCACGAATAAGGGAGGTCCGCAATCATCAGAAGCTTGATTTGTGTCCGCTCTTGCGTCCAGCAAGCACTGAACAACCTCAATCTGGCCCCTGCAACAGGCTGCAAATACCGGGGTGTGACGCTTGACGGATGCAATGTTCAAGTCCGCTCTGGCATCAATAAGGATCCTTGCAGTGCGAGTGCGGCCCTCTGCTGAAGCCAACAGAAGTGCAGTTCCACCTATCTTGTCGGCTTTGTTGATGTTGATGTTCGCACGCGCCTGCACCAGGAGCAGGACAGTTGTACAGTGACCCATCCAAGATGCAACGTGCAGCGGCATCGTCCCATCGTTGCATGCTTTGTCCAAGGATGCCTGTGCCAGAATCAGCATCTGGACTATGCCGAGACAGCCAATACTATTGTCACCATTACGTGCAGCTACGAACAAGGGCGATACACCGCGTTTCGTGGTCTTCTCCACGTCGGCTCTGGCGAAAAGCAGCTGCTGCGTGAGGTCTGGATTCGCACCGGCGACAGCGATCAACAAGGCTGAACATCCAACTTCGGTTCCATAGTTGACATTGGCGTCCGCGGCGATCAGATTTGCCACGGCTCCCTGGTTGCCTCTGTATGCAGCTACTAGAAGGGGCGTGGCACCTGAGTCCCCCTCCCATGGGGAGTACTCCGACACTGCGTCTGCGTGAGCACGCGCCTCAAGCAGCAAGTTAATGCAGGCCAAGCTGTTCCAGTAGCAGGCACCGTGAAGAGCCGACCACAGCCAAGTCTCATCAACAAGGTCTGGCCTTTGGGGCTCTTGCAATAATATCTGCAAGTCTTCGTCACGGTGGTGCTCTGCAGCTAGGAGAAGATCGTCATACCGCTCTTTGTCGTTTGGGACAAAGCCCTTGACCAAAAACGACAGGACTGCGGGAAAGCCGAAGATGGAGCTATCAGCCAGCTCGCCGAAGCTTTCTTCGTTAGCCTCGTCGAAGAGGCACTGCCTGAATCGAGTGTATCCTGTCAGGGAGCACAAGTAGCGCTTGAGGGTTCTCACGTTGTTGCCACCTCGTAGCACCAAAGCATGGTACTGCTCTGAATCGAGACAAACCAAAGTGTTGCCGCTTGCTTTCCATCGAATAATAATCATTTCATGGGAGAGAGCCACGGAGAATTTCGAGCCATTCTGGCTGATCCCGGCAGACAGCAAGCAATGAATGAGAACATATTTGGAATCTTCCTTCTAGGGCTCGGGTAATCGCAACATACGGCAACTTTCTGTGCGTCTATTTTTTTGAAGCCGTGCTAACCTGCTTTCGACGGAGTCCATGATAGCCGAATAACGTTGCAATGTTCAATCTCTGACTGCATCAACTTGGAAATACGCAGCTCGTCTTCTGAAGATCAGGGATGATCAGGGTACGGAACAGGCGAGCCTACTCTGAAAACCTGTGGCGATGCTTTCAGTTCCTGAACCTCAAAACGCAGCTGTTCTGCTCGCCTGCGAACACATTGTCCGATTCTCTCGGTGAGGTATAGGTGGCGGGGGTCACCTCGGTAGTAGGCTTTCCTGGCCCTCACTGCAAACTACGAGCCTCTAATCAAGAAAACAGCTTCAGCCTAAACCCACGGGTGGATGAGAGGGTGAAGCTTCTGGCAGCTGAGGTGCCCGTGGCTTAGCCAGTTCCTGGACGCCGCCACTGTCGTTCTTTATGAGGCGCCTCGGTTGAAGCGCCAAACAGGGAATCAGGTAGTACATACACGGTGCCTAGCCAAGTAGCACTTGAATGCATTCTATGCACTCCACAATTAATTATGTACGGCTATTCTGCCTGGTCCCTGATTTCTAGACTGCGCTGTAGTGGATCGGTGGAGATTCAAGCTTCCATGGGGGATTTGCTTACTTTGTCTGGCCGGGGGCTCGGCTGATCCGATCCGAGCAAGACGAATGCCAATGGCAAAGCGCATGCAAGTGCCCCTTACTAGGATTAAGCGCATACGGAGGCCCAGCTACTGTAGTTGTTTGGGATGCCCATAGACTGTGAATCGGAGTTTGTGCCTTCGGGAGAAGGCTGCTAGGGCTGCGAAGGTTTGCCTCTGCCCTGCAAGCATCCGTGCGACATTTCAGAAGAGGCGGCACCTTCCCAGGCTGTTACTAGTGGGGGTGCTCAACCCCTACGACCTCAGGTCCGTTTGGAGCCCTGGAGCCAAGCAAGACCAAGAAGCTGTGAAAACCGTCTCGCTGTCGACTTGACAAGTCACGACCTATTGCCTGCTAGACGCTTGACAAGGAAACTGACTAAAAGCCAAACAAGCTAGCACCGCCTCTATTAGCCTTGGCACAGCGGCGAGGGCATTGTAGTGTCCAGCTCTTGAGCCAGCAAGCTTCCGGACAAGAGAGCCAGGGTTAGGTGCTGTGCGAGAGTGCTGTGGCAAGCAGCAGAACTGCCGCAGCCTGGGAGGATATTGAAACAAAGGGGTTGGTTCCAAACCCCTTCAAGCCTTGAGTGGCTGGTTTGCTCGCATTGGTGTGGAAGGTTCTGTCTGTGAAAAACAAAGCAACAACAGCAGTTGTCGAATCACACATCCGGGAGACAGAGTGGTCATCCGTTGCTCAGGCCGTATAACTTCGCTGTGCCGACCGCCGGCAATGAATTCCGAAAATCACACTCCCTAGCCGCCCTAGCCCATCCTAGCATCCCCAACGGCGATAAACTGACAGACTAGAGAGGAAGGATGGCCAGCCTCGATTGACAGGGGATTTTCGCCTGCAGGGCTGACGTGTGATCCAAAGACTGGCATGGGCTTCGCGTTTCGTGGAGCCCAGTCTTCGAATGTACTTCCATGGCTCTGAACAGGCACACATGCATACATGCGTACATACCTACCTACCGCCGTACATACATTCATTTTTTGGAACTCGCGCTCGACAAGGTCAGGCGAGGTTTTGGCGAGACACACTGAACCAGGCACGAACATTTTCAGTTCGGCCACAGACTGTATGTATGTACACATTATGTGTGTCATACATACATGTACATACCTATCTACGTATCTTCGTGCGCAGCCTCCCCAGCCATGCAAAAAATCTACGTGCAGAAGTAGTGCCCAGAGCATACATACATACATACATACATACATACATATACACGAACATACATAATTACATATCTGCATATATACATACGCAAACAAATATGCATAGCTACCCACCGACAAACATACATGCATACCTCCGTACGTACATAAGACATGCTTACATACATGCGCGTGCACATGAGTGCCAGCCAATACTCGGTTAGTACAGAGAAAATAACACTGAGCATGCGTATACACAGTACTGAAATGGATAGTTCTGTGCATAGATAGACAGATCAACAGATAGGGAGATAGAGAGCACAGAAGATAGATGATCAATAGCTATAGGGAAACAAACAGGCAGATAGACAAATATGTAGACGGATTGATAGATAGATAGATAGATAGGTAGATAAATCGACCAACAGGTTGGCAGGTGGATCGAACGATCGACTTTATGTGCATCTGTGCGCGCATGCATGGGTGTGGGTGTGTGTGTGTGTGGGTGCGGGTGCGGGTGCACGTGCCGGTGTGCGTGCGGGTGCGGGTGCGGGCTTTGGTGTGTGTGTGTGTGTGTGTGTGTGTGTGTGTGTGTGTGTGTGTGTGTGTGTGTGTGTGTGTGTGTGTGTGTGTGTGTGTGTGTGTGTGTGTGTGTGTGTGTGTGTGTGTGTGTGTGTGTGTGTGTGTGTGTGTGTTTGTGTTAGTTTGTTTGTCTGTTTGCTCGCTTGCTTGCTCGCTTGCTCGCTCGCTTGTCAAAAGCTTCCGACGGTACAAGCACCTGCTTCTCGTCCAACTCGACTGGCACTGTAAGAAATTGTAAATAATTGTGATCAGGCAGTTCCGAGTTCGATACGGCAGACGGACAGGCATAGCAGTGGCGGCCACGCATTCACAAGCCGGCAGCCGAGGTCTGCTGAGCTCGTGGCTCAACTCGTGGACCCTTTTATGCAACTACGGCATCTGTCGCGCCCGATAAGGAGAAACGCACATCCCAGAAAAGTCCAAATCCCAAGGTCTGAATTTGAGTCCTGCATGGACGTGGATGCCCTTGGCTTTGGTCAGCTCAAGCAAATGATCCCGGATGTCCTTGACAAGGCTTTGCTGCTTAAAGAGCATTGGGCCAAGGTTCTGAGTTCAGGGGCATTCCAGTAGAGCCAATACAGGAAGTAAATAACGATGACTAGCTGACTAGCAGCAAATTATTCCGCATTCGTAAATCCAACATGGCAGTAGGCATCCAGCCCCTACAAAGACCGCGGAGAGCGATATGGTTCCGGATCTTTGGCCACTTTCTCAGCCAGTACCAGCAGAAGTTCAAACGAAGCAAACATCTACAAGAATTCCATGTGCAGCTTTACGTTTCCTTGCCTTGCCTCAAGCAACACTTGTGAAATTTTGGCTGCGAAGCTGTTTTCTTGTCTTCGTTTTGATGCTCTCTTGATGAAGCCCTGGCTTTGGGGGCTCATCGGGAACTAGTACTAGAATATCTACTGGATCTATATTGTAATGTGGGTTGGTGGCTTGAAGGCAGCGACATGCAGGCATCGGGTAAAAGCTGCCTTGTCAAACAGGACATCCAACTCTTCAGCTCTTGAGGACAGAATCTCTGGACGTTCGCGCATGTAAGCTGTGTCAGCCGTCCTCGTCGAAGCCACGCAGAGGCTTGTCCTGATCCCGCCGTTGGTTGGCAGCTGGATTCTTAGGTGTTCTCTGCGACCTCAAAACCCCTAAAAGATCTACTTGAAACTCACTGTCATTCGAAACTGCTGCCGGCCATACAGCCCTCTCCCGATTCCTTTGCAGGAAGCCAGTCCTGTCGGAAAACCAAGTGGACTTCAGTGCCATAGCCTCAAAGGCTGCTTCAAGGAAACGCTGCTTGTTTTCATGTCCGGCTCGGCCCTGATTTCAAGGTGCAAGAGCAAGGCTCCGCGGATTGTGACATTTCGATGACGGGCTGCTGTGCGCTGCAAACAACCCTGCATCATCTGAGCCACCGTGCCATGGAAGTAGCCCGCAAACTCCACAGCCTTAAATCTGCTCGGCCGCTCTGTCTGCTTGAACCAACACACTATCCAAAATGCAGAATCGCTCCCAAAGGACCTGCAATCGATCAGCACCCGGCGATGTAGCCGCCACCAATGACCACCAGCTTCTCTGGCCTTTGCCCATCAGCAGCGTGCGTCAACATACTGCATATACTTTAATTACTATGTTTCCGTTATGTTCCGTAATCTTAAGTTACAATTCTGGTAACCATTTAGGCTTCTACATTCTGATGGTGCGCAACTCTCGTCTGTCGGGCGGGCTGTTGAACACATGCATAGCTGGACTGCGCTGGTCAGCATAGCTAAGCCCTAGCGCATGTCCGTTTGTATGTCCACGCACCAGTATAATACATATACAGATATATTCATATGTTCATATATACATACATGTCATTGTTTTGCCTTTATATATGCGCCAACCCCTCCCCCATGTACCCACGCTTTGTGCAGGAATCGTCTGGCGTCGCGTCCCTACAACCCTTTCCAAACTCCATTTCCATTCTTGGTCGTATCTACAATGCAATAATGTACTAGATAATGTGTTCCTATATGCCAGTATCAAGTGTAGTTTCACTATTACCTGTACCAATGATCGTATTGCCAAGTACCATTTTATTACTGTGTGATTTGTTTGAATGATTCGGATGATTTGGGTGAGTGTCGGATCCAAGATTGCGCGTCCAAGGCCTTTGGCCTTTGGCCAATCTTGGATCTTGAATCGGAGCCCGAATCAAAATGATTCGAGTTCCCAGTGCCCCCCCATCGATTGAATACATGTTGAATCTTTTGGAACACAATCTGTTGCGGTTTGACCATTGCATTTTGTATTTCGAGCCTGTCGTTCTGAGAACAGTCTTTTTTGTGCTCTATAAATATCATGCAGTCCATTACAAGAACTTAACACCAATGATGCTGCCTTGTTTGCGGGTTGTCTGTTCTGTTGGTGTTGCTACTACTAAACTGCTGTCGCTGCTGATGTGGCATATCGACCACATAAAATAATGGGTGGTAGGTTTAAGCTACACTAAAATGTGAGTAAAACGTAGGACTCAACAATCCAATACAGTCGCGTTGTCATACCTGGTTGTTATGAAACAAGTGTGAATAGCAGCTGTTGAGTAACTTACCACTTACTCCGAGTGAATCACAGTAAGAATGTACCTAGAAGTTTTGTTTCTTGAGACGTAGTAAGGCAATTGGGAAGGGCACAGATTGTAAAATGGGTTGGTATTGCTGAAGCCCTCCGCTCTGTGCGGGATGCGAACATTGTGCGCACCGTTCTTCTAGGTAGCAACTAAATACTATAGACAGACAAATTTCGGGTTACTATAGCTGAACAGCTCTAACTCAAACTCTCTAACTCGGTAAAACTCCCAATGAAAGCGCCTAGCTGACGGACACACTCGTCTAGTGTGCTTGGGAGATTGAGTGTGAGATTGATTTCAATTCTCAGACGATCTAGATGAGGCTCCACAGGCTCGAAGGTGACAGTAGAGCACGCGAAAGCAGGGCGGCATGTTCGTAGGTCGTTCATGAATGAAACCATGACCCCACCTCAACAGCAACCCAAGCCTGGAAGTCCACACCAAAGCACAATGCCTGAGCATGAGATTCCGGCACTTATATTGCTAAGCTAGCCAACCTTTTGAGATGCCAATGCAAAGTTCCCTGCTTCTTGGGCAAAGCCAAAGCCTCATCGCTGGTGAGCACCTCACGCGGCCGAAGCAAATCGCTTGACGTTACGTCCTACGAGAAACAGGGAGAGAAAAGAGCTAGGAACCACTCGAAAGCAAGCTTCAACGAAAGTAACGAAAAGCTTCAACACCCTAAGCCAACCCGACAAAAACCACGCTTTTCCTGACCTCATTTCCTACAGTTCCACGGACATGTTCAGGATTTGCGGATCAGGGCATTTCTTGGTACCCGTGCTCCATCTCTGTGCATGGCTTCATGGCAGCAGTTGCTTGGACTTGTAAGCATTATTGGGCCATTTAGAAGGCAAGCAAGTCACTGCGGAGGAATGTTGGCTCCGATTGTTTCTGACGATTGATTCTGCGGCGTAGCTGAGAGTTTCCAGATTCATGTTCTGCTTTGCTGATAACTAATGTTCAAGACTCCTGCCGCGCTTTGCTGATTTCCCGGGCGTTGCTTCAAAAACTAGGCAGGACTTGCTTGGAAAGACTATGCGAGACTGCAAAACACCGCAACCCAGAAGGCTGGATTTTCCTGAATCCCGGAATCGGTCGAGCATCCGAATCGGCAGCTACTACAGATGGTGCGCAAGTAAAGGCAAAGCAAGGCGGGATCTGAACAAAGGAGGTCTCAAGCAAACCAGGTCCGAGGCAAGAAGTTTCGGGGTTCCCTCGCTCATGGTCTGATCTGTCTGATCGAGGCCCTCATTTGCCTTCTACTCTCTGGAGCCCTGAAGGGTCTGGAACCGTACTTTCAACCTCCAACAGTCACAGCCAGCAAACGGTCTGCGATAAGCTGCCGACTCCGTCAAGGTCACTGCCAGGAATGGGCCTTGAAAGCATAATAACAAAGAAGTGATGCAGCAAAACCGTGCATTTCGACTTGCGACCAACACAACATATCTTCTAACTAATCTCTGAGTCTGGATATGATGAATAAATGATAGCAACTGTGACTGTGATAGTAACCGCATGACACGGGCCCCGACAGCCGCTGCGCTCGACCGCCCGTGGCAACGCAAATGTACTTGGCCGTGTGCTTTTCACCATTGACCTCCAGAGAAGCAGGCTGAAACTAAGAGCACTTGGGCTTATGAGGCTATTGAGAATAAGAACACGGATACTGATCCTCTGAATGACAGTAGAAACCATCAGACATTAATAATTGGCATGAAGGTCAGGTATGGGCCAATTATGTACTGTAAACGTGCGACCTGGCTCCAAATCAATCAAATCAATGTATCAGTTGCATGCAGCGCAGTGCACTTCGATACATATGGGCTCCAGCCGCCGCCAAAGACGGCTTTGGTGAATCTGCCCTCGGTCCCCACAGGATGTCTTACCTGTGCTCGTGCCTGTTTCTTTGATTCAAGGTTTAGCGGTGTTTCTGCAACCTACTGAGGCAACGACTTGTTTCTTTTTGGCGAAGCGACTTACACCACGACTACAATACTTTCTTTAGGCACTCCATTTCATTGCCGTTGCGGTTTCCTTCCACACGTTGGTACGAGCACTGGCATTGACTGCCTTCAAGGTCATGCTCTGTTCACAACTGACCATGCAAGTATTGACAGCCGGTCGCTATACAACACTTCCCACCTCAACTGTGTGGGGATCCAGAATGCGAGCGTAGCCCTCGAAGTGCTTTACTCCTGCTCCGTCCTCAGAGAATAGATCCACAGGTGTAAAACTCTCGGAGCACTGAAAGCAGCGTCTTCGGTGTGGACAAAGAGTTGGGCTGGACTAAGTTAGCGAAGCTTTCCGCGCTCTGCTGCCAGAATCTAGGACATCCTGTCTATGCTTGTTACTTGTTCAAATATGTGTGACACATTCATGGGCAGATTCGAAATGCTGACCCTGCTGACCTTCCGGCTCGGCCGGTGGGGCAACACGGACAGGGGTGGGGGGCACGGGAAGGTGAGCAAGTAAGCAGGTTCTTGCCATCCGGACAACCCCGAGGCATCGGCGAGAAGCTTGGTGTAGATGCTATTCAAACCTCAGCAATGACAGCGTGGCTCTGAGGTGGTCTGAAATATACGAAGCGATGCATAGTGTGGTTATATGGTTAAGGATCCCGGCAACTACCGAGCTACCGAAAGCAGATCAAGCACCCATGAGTGCATGCGGGCGGGCCTCGGCAAGTGGGTGGGTGGGTGCATGTGTGTGCATATGTATGTTCATATATGTGTATATATATATATGTATATACATATATACAGGCAGGAACGCCAGCAAGGAACACATGCTTGTTCGAAGCATTTGTATTCATATACGTACGTGCCGTGCTTGCAGATATGCAACTTGACCTTTGCATCCTGTTTACATTTCGCGCCTTAGCACGTCTTCACACTGCTCGACTCGCTGCACTGCTCCACCCGTGCCAGGGCTCCCTGCGAGTGACCTGCATGGATCGTGAGAGTCTCGGACCACTCTTAGACTTGTGGTTGAGGGAACATGATGCATGTCCGAATTTTCGGCCATCTCCTCAGGCTATGTTGTACGACACCGTACTATATTCTGCACTTGGCTATCCGGAGGCCTCTGCGTTCTTGGCTTCGATAAGCTTGTCCCAGTCTAGGTCGGGCGACACGCCTGGCAGAGAGCAAGACCCTCACCTAGCCGCCCCGAGCCCTGAACCGTTCCGATGGTCTCTGTATAATTATCTCTGAGCCACAATAACCGACGAGCGCATGTTTGCTCCTGAGAAATCAGTGGTAACGAGGAGGATAATGGACATCCCCCCCGCTGAGCATTCGCAAACAAACCATTTCAGTCACCATGGCATCTTAAGTCCTACATACCAACATTTAAGCAAGCTTGCCGGCCCTCTGGCAAAGACCAGCCATAGCCCTGGCCGTCTTTGATCTCCTCTGCAGACCCGGATTGACATGGGAGTTCTCCTACCGGGCTACACCCTACACCGAAAGAGACATGCGATCATGTCGGCAAATGTATGGCTGCCCGGCGCTTGGTGGGCCTGCCTCGAAAGTCTTGAAGTTTCAGCTATCGAAGTGCATGCCGGTCGCCATGGTTATTCGAAGCCAAATCCCTTTGCCCTGCCGTCTATGCAGTTCCAGACAATGGCTGAAGCCTGACCGGGGGTCATCAGTGATTCGCTACAACGACGAACTACGGCTGCCGTCGTGAACTTAAGCCCAAAGGCTCATAGAACCCTCGACCAAGATCCCACAATGCCCGTAGCAACAGTTCTGAACTTACACGGCACAAGCTTCGCATTGGCATCTTTTCTTCCTGGCAGCACAGTCGCAAATCGATCGTTGGCGACACGCCTACAGCTGAACGTGAAGCTGGTGACCAGCCAGTTAATGACCCCCAAGGGTCCGACGGCGTGGATTTTGGTGCTGGAATCCTTGGAGAAATCATGAGGGCCCGCTCTCGTTAAGTCTTAAAGTTTCAGTTTTCAGTGATCCTCGAGTTATGTAGCCCCAAACTTACGAACCCGGAGAAATACCCACGATCTCTCCAAGTCAATGCGAGAGGCTACTGTTAAGGCTTCAGCAGCTGACCGAGAATAGCGATAGATTCGGCCACATAGTGCGGCTGATCTGTTCCTGGGCTGCACTGACTTTTCGAGATTCTGAAGATGTATAACCACCAACACAACATGCAGACGCACATGGGAACATGCATGCACGCGGCGTGCGTACATACACACGTTTTATGTACACACATACATACATACGTACATAAGTACATACAGACGTACATGCACGAATGCATACACAACTGTGTCCATGCATGTGCATGTGCTAATAAGCATTCGCAAGGTGCGCGTATCATATGTCTAATATCTTGATTGCAGAGCACAGGCTGGATGACAATCATAATAAGTTAAACCCTTCCAGGACTGTGCGGCGACGCCACGGCGGAACGCAATGAAGGACAATGGGGCCATCGGTCCGTCCGCTAAAGATTTGATGTCCAAACCTTTAGTCCTCAGAACCTTCGCCGTCAACTCATAAAGGCCACCGCCGAATCTCTAACATTATGAAGAGCATCCCTATAAGCCATGCCTGTATGCCCGTGTGAATACATGTCCTATCTAGTTCTGTGGCCACTTTACCTAACGAGATGGCTGCATTGTAGACAGCGCTCCTTCCCAAAAGCAACCGCAACCGGCATCCGATGCTCAGGGTGGCTGCAGACGGGATGCTATTCGCCTGCATGACTTCCTCAGGGCCACAGCACCGGCTGAATCGCATCACGCAGACTATGTCTTGCTTAGATCACAGGCAAGATAAACCGGAGCTAGTGATCCCGATTCTGCAACTAGGAGCTAGCAGATTTCCACGACCTGAACAACCCCCTGCACCAAGACTGACTTTCAACGCGTTGCATAACGCGATCTGATAGTCAGGCCCCACCCTGCCTGCTCCGTCATGCTCCCACTTGCAACGAAAAGGGTCTGCATTCCCACGCTCCGGCCAAAAGCAATGTCCGTGTCGGTGCGATCACCTACCATGCCTGGGCCAAGGTGGTTCGGAGCTCGGACTCACAGTTACCATAACCATGTGAAAAGGGTTAGACTTTATGTAGGAAACGTCAAGCTCTGGGCACAGCTCCGGCGTTGTCCTACGCAGTCTCCACTCAGACTCAAAAACCGCAACCTGCATAAAACCTTCGAGAAATGTCCCGTTCCGAGGTCATCCCCACAAGACACAAGACTGGCTTGGAGCCTGCTACGGGTCTCCGCACGCCCTACGCCCTAGAGCCCCTGAAGACGAATTGAACTTCGAGCTGCAGGTGGTCTCGGGCGACAGCCCTTTAGAGGATAGAAGGTATCGGGCCAGAGTTTCCTGAGCACGCTGCATCCGAGATGTGGCTGACGCAATGCTGAGGCTGCGGCCCTTACAAGCACTGGCCACAGGTACTTAGCACGTCATCTCACTAATTACATCGGCTAGGTTGCCTTCGGTTTTCGTGTGAGGAAGGCAAGCACACAGCTGTAGGTGCGAAAGCCCGTCAGATTGTGACGGCTCTCGGCTCGCCCGAATCCAAACATCCGATCCTGCTCACACGCCTGCAACGTGGAAACTCACCGCGAGTGCACACTCCAACCAAGCAGCGCTGGGCTTGCCACAGACCTCAGAAAGACACAAGCAGGACGGCCGCTCTGCTCCAAAACACCCTGGAAGCACAGCGGTCGTCCGATACCCTGCAATGCAGATGCGACGTTATGGCGGGACCGTCCTGCCTGTAAAGTCGATGGCACGAGATGGCACTTGTTATGACGACGAGAAGGTTGCCGCTGCTGACGGTGGTGTTGCTGCAGCACATGTCGCTGCGGTGACGACGGTGGCTGTATTTATGAATCCTTATTGCATTCATGCGCAAGAGAAAGGCCCCGACGATGTCCGGTTGACGCCCGGCGGCCACCTGAGACACAGCTTATATGGGGTTTAAGACTCTTCGGCAGAAATTGAAGTTGTTATACAGTTTTGCTGCAGCTTATAGGGGCTCGAGGTCTCGAAAGTGAGCCCATAGAGTCAGCATCCGGAATAAGTTCGAGAGCTCGGGGATGCCACCTGCACGAACAGGAAGCACAGTTTACATCCTCTTTTGAATCAGGGGAGCTTGGTGTATGTCTGGAAGTGAGACTCAATCATCATTATTATTTCATCCATGACCCTCTGTGACCCAAACCACGGTTTCTGTTGTACGGCTCCTCACTCCTGACCGTCCCTAAGCCTGAAGCCATCGAAATCGCCGCATGCATCCAGGGCACTGCAATCGCGCTCCACATGGACCCTGCAAAGAAGAGTGAGGAAAAGTGCTGGAAAGAGCTGACTAGACTCCACTCGCAGCTCGGCAAGTCAACTCAGCAAAACCAGAGGGTCGAGATTTGGTCGCCCCCCAGAACCACTTCTCAGAGGTGGCTCTATTTTGAGTTTCTCTCTCGGGATCTGTAATCCTCTAGTGACCGAAACCTGAGCCCCACACACTGCACGGGCGACATCGGGCGACCCTCTAAATTAGGCTCCCTTCTCAAGCCTGCAGTTTATAGGGGGCATTCCGGAGGGTGCCATCGTCAAGGACTCAGGGCTTGGAGCGCTGCAACTGCGACCGCTGTAGTTTTCATTATTCATTATTGTTCCGTACATTCGCGAAGGTCATAAAGCAAGCTTCTGAAGCTCTGAGCCCGTATGCCAAAGAAACACCCGACCGGCCGGGCCTGCAGCTGGGAAGAAGGTCCCGGGCGCCATCAAAGCCCGGGGATCCGGATTTGTGGCGACAAACCTTTCAGCTCTCTCCGAGCGATTACACGCCATGGAATTGAGCACGAAGAACAAGACTGAAAAACGTCGGGTAACAGCTACGCCCCTACGCTTGACGACTTCAGGTCAAGCACAACATAGGAGAAGAAGCGAAAGAAGAAGAAGGAGACAGTTAGAATTGATGATGACGCTCCTATGACACCCCTCCTCATCCTTCTTCTCCCTCTCCCCTCCCCCTGACCACCCTCCCCGCCTTGCTAACTATCGGTTGTGACGTTTGTTGCGTCCCGTCCAGTCACGACTCTCAGCCTCAGCGGGTGTAAGAACCCTCTATACCCTCCGACTCCTGCAGCCCGAGCCACAAAGCGCCAGGATTCTGGCGGAGGTAGTTGGCAGCCTGCTTTTGTTGGCATGTACAGAGACTTGCAGACCGCCTCGACTCCTTGACCTCGAGTTCGGAGTCCAGGGTTCACTATGCGGGCTGAGCCATCACCCATAGCACAGCCAGCATCTCCACCATCTCGAGCGACGATGAAGGCGGACATACGACGACAGTGCCAGAAATGATGGAAAGGGTCACGAAACATCGATGCAACTCCCAAACCTGCAGGTCGTTCCGGATGTGGCGTATCTTCGGTGTCAGCTGTTCTCATGAGGTCTGCACCGAAATCGTGCTCTAGTGTTCACCAACGCTCTCAGTGTCATATTGCATGGCCGGAATTATTTGCTGTGACCCGTGTTCTCAGAACGACAGCGGCAGCTGAGGCTACTGCTGAATCGGGGAACAGCAACGACTCGATGACTACGACTTTCACCAAACTTACGGCTTTTCGCCCCCCCGGGAATGCAGCCGAGCCTTGGCTAACTTGTAGTAGTTGAAGGCCTCAATGCCGACGCAGGGTCAGGGTCACGACGGGAGCCCAGTCTCTGCTAAAGCCGCAAGGCCTCGAACAGCCTGACTCTGGAAGGTTTTGCGAGAATAAGCGAATTCTCGAGCACCAGCTGCATCCTGATGCTATTGCATGAAGGACAAGGACAAAGGCAAGGGCCCAGATGACTCATCTTTCGAGCCCCAATCCTGAAAAGCTGAAACACAGCCGAGGAACGAAGTCGGCCCCGCAAACCACAGCAACCACCTCCTTTGCAGGTGGCTCCAGCTCTGGGAGGAAGCTTTTCATCACGTCCTGGGTCAAGGTAAACCGGAAAAAAGAGAGAGCTAAAACGATCGGGCTAAAAGGGCTTGACAGTTTGGTCAACATTCTTGGTTCAAGGTTGGCTACCTTTGGCAGTCATACAGCTGTTAAAGCTGTTAAAGCACTGGGGCAGTTCAGCTCGAGGCAACAGGCAACTGCGGCCCCAGGCATGCGAGTTCAACACGACACGTGTTCCTGCACATACGGCCGAACTTGGCAACGGCAACGAGACAGTTGCAAAGCTAGAGCCCGGATTTTCTTACTACCCAAACTCGAAGCCATGAACTTCCAGGGAGGCGCCTCCCGATTCTTCCCTGCATCCTCCTCGCCACCGCAGGTGAGGACACCGGCCCTTTCCTTCAGGGCTTGGACTTTGGAGTTTACCTTCGAAACCCTAAGTCTAAGTAGATTCCACTGAGCAGCGCAGGTATTTGCTTCGGACTTGAGGCATTTACAGCTTCGGTTAGAGTGAGGGAGGCATGGACTCTGCCATCTGACTGAGCGAGTGCGCACTCGATGACCGCAGAATTCTTGTTCAAATCGGGCACCACGAAGGCTCACATCTCAAATTCAAAAGGCTCATGTACGGTCGGCCCTTTCAAAATTTCCCTGAATCACTGAAACGCTCCTGCAAATCGCCCTGGAGATCTTGCCACTAAAACCTACTTTGCAACCATACATTCAAACCCGTCAACCCTGGGCTCATAATTCACACGACGAGTCCTCGAGGCAATCGCACAAGGCCTTCATTCCCACGACCTCGAGCATCTGACCGAAAGGGGCCGGTTCTCTGCTTGAGGTATTACAGTCTAACGGCGAAGGCTCTGTGTTTCGACGTCTTGCTCTGAAAGCCCTGTTCCTGCTGCTGCTACTGGGATTGCAAGTCGTACATCATGGTCCTGGACCCCAGAACCCCCAAAACCCAAACACCGAACCCGCGTCCCAAGATCTTTTAGTCAAGCTCTGCCACCCAAACCCATAAACTTTTGCGCCACTGTCTGGCAGGCTTAATACAAGCCTTGTCTGACAAGATACAACCATGGTGATGACGATGCTGGTGGCGACCTTCCGTCCCTGGAGCCCTCTGTGCAGGTTCAGATGCTGCTGTATCGGCGTGGAAAACGGGTGACAAAGGGTTCCTGAAGGTAAAAGATGCTAGCTACTTGTGCAATGCTTGTGAGGTCAACCTAGCCCTTGATAATCATGGCATAGATCGGCCTTTCTTGAAGTCTTGCGCCAGCACAAGCTTGGGCAGGATCTCGCCAAAGGCTAAGGCACGGAGTTCCACTGCCGCAAAGAACCGAAGTACGATGCGTTATTGCAGGTGGCACCGTGCGGGAGGTGGCGGAGGAGGAGCCGAGCATTTCCAAGCCGGGTTTCTAGAAAGGACGTGGTAAACGGCATAGTCTATGGCCGCAGAGATTCCCGCATCATCGTGCATCGAGGTCTCAAAGTATGTGAGGCCCTCTGCTTCCGCGAAGCACTCTGCCTCCTGTCGCTGGATCCTCCGGTGAATGGTCAAATCTGCTTTGGTGCCGATCCTGGGTAGGTTGTAGGCTTCTAGTACAATCAGTGTTTTGGCTTTCTACATACAGCCAATAAGAACGAAGAACAGCCCAGGTGCAGCAACTTTGTGCCGACGGCTTGGGTCTGGGGAAGAGCCAACAAAGGCGCAAGAGGCTCCAGAGACGTCGGGTCAGTGAGATCCACCACGAAAAGCCTTATCCAAAAGAAGTAACGACAAAGCTTGTTCCAGTGGAAGTATCAAAACATCAAGGTTTCCGAAACGAGGGAAATGATATGGGCTTCAATCGCTGGGCTTGCGAACAAGAAGCAAGGCATGCTTCCCTCGGAATTGGTCGGGAACCTCGAAACGGGAGCTTCTGGGTCCAGATCGATCCCACAAGATGATCTTTACTGGCATCTCAGCGGCCATCGCATGAGCAACTGCAAAGTCGATCCGTCTAGCTACTGTCGCAAACGGGTCCGTGTTCGTGTACCTACAAACCAAACTGGTCTTGCCCGCCCGCTGCTTTCCGACAACACCAATGTGTATCCGTCGACTTGGAAGAGACGACGGCGGCATGCGCAATACCCGCTGCGGTTGCAATACTTCTTGCATCTCTGTTGGTGAAGACTGTTTCTGCAGATCCAGGTCTTTGAGCAATTCTGACTCCTCCAAGGCCCTGCCCTCCAAGACAAGCGTTCTTTTCAACGTGGGGTCTAGCGTCCCCTCGTGCTGGATCGCAGCCAAGATGTCGACGACGCTGGCTGTCTCCGGCAACTCGAGCTCACCCAGCAACTTCCCAGACAACTGCAGCACGCGCACCCTGTACCCCATGGCCGCGACAACGCAAGACAGTCTGTTCTCATTGACATGCAGATCGCTAGCTGCAACATCGCCGTGCAGCCATGCTAGATCTAGTTCAACATTTGCGGCTACAGTTTGGGAACCGGTTCTGGAAAAACCTGATGCAAAGCTCTGCCTTACAGCAGCTTGGTGGAACTCTCTGAGTAAAACTCTCAGATGCACTGGTTCGCTCAAGATTGTACAGTGCCTCAGTACTGTTGCGCTTCTCACCACCAGGCCTCTGGAATGATAGGTCATTCGTAGGTTATCGGCACAGTAATTGTCGTACTAGTACTCGTACTAGGGACAGGGAATAGGACTACTATGAGCAAAACTGATTCTTGTACTAGTACTAGTAGAAGCAACAGTGGCAGCAGCAGCAGCAGCACGAGCAGTGGCAGTCGCCGTCGCGGTGACTGTGGCAGTGCCAGTGGCCGAAGTAGTAGTAGTAGTAGTAGTAGTAGTAGTAGTAGTAGTAGTAGTAGTAGTAGTAGTAGTAGTAGTAGTAGTAGTAGTAGTAGTAGTAGTAGTAGTAGTAGTAGTAGTAGTAGTAGCAGTAGTAGTAGTAGTAGTAGTAGTAGTAGCAGTAGCAGTAGTAGCAGTAGAAGTAGTAGAAGTAGTAGAAGTAGTAGTAGTAGTAGTAGTAGTAGTAGTAGTAGTAGTAGTAGTAGTAGTAGTAGTAGTAGTAGTAGTAGTAGTAGCTGTAGGAGCAGTAGTAGTAGTAGTAGTAGTAGCAGGAGTAGTAGTAGTAGCAGTAGTAGTAGTAGTAGTAGTAGTGAGTATTAGCTGCAGCAGAAGCACAGTTGTTTCAGTTGCCGCTGCTGCTATTGCTATTGCTTCGCTGTCGCTGTCGTTGTCGTTGCGGCTGTGGTTGTGGTAGTTGTTGTTGTACAGTAGTAGCAGGACAAGCAGCAGGAGTAGTAGTAGTAGCAGTAGTAGTATTTGTAGTAGGAGGAAGAGGCGGAGCGAAGGTTGTCGAGGCGAACAGACGATTGTTCAAGAGCTCTCTATCTCCCAACTCTCACGAATGCCACCGACTGACTTCTATGGGGGTGAGAGTCCAAGATCCACGCGAGGAGGTCACAATAACTTATAGCAACAACGCGAATTACGTAACACCAAAGAGGAAAATGATGGCAACAGTTTGACATAATGAAGTCACCGAAAGTAGCAATCCTGAGGCTTGGGGTAAGCCCGGGACTTGCATCTTGAAGTTCAAATGTCAAAGCAGTGTGCATGTCATTGCAAATTGCAGCCAAGAAAAGTCCGGGCAGGCTCTGCTGCTAACTGCGGCGATGGGAGGCTCTTCAGCTTTGAAAGAGCATGGAAAATTGCATAGTCCATGGCAGCATCCACACCTGTTCCATCTTCTGCAGACGTTTCGAAGTAGGCCAGACAATTCGTAGCGGCAAACTGCTCCGCTTCTTTGCGGGAAACTTTCCGCTGAGCCGTCATGTCGGCCTTATTGCCGATTAACAGCTTGGCTGGCATTGCTTGCACAGTGTCATGTTGCACCCATCTGTGAAGGGCTCGGAGAGATTGAGGGTCGGTGAGGTCGATCACGAGAAGGAGGGCATCCATTCCCAGGAGGAAAAGCGACGAGGGAAGCTCAGTCGGCCGGGAAGTGTCCCGAAGGAGAACCCTCAACGGCGTATCATCGGCCAATACCCGTGCGAACGGGATCTCCACCATGGCCTGCCCACGTTGCGAATGGTTCGTGGCATATCGGAAGGCCAGGCTCGTCTTCCCAACGCCACTTTCACCCACAACAGCAAATTGCACCAGCCGGCATTGGTTCGGCAAAGACATCACACGCTCTGCATGCTGCACTTGCAAGATCTCCTGCATCTGTACGGGTGGCGGACTTTGCAGATCCAGGTCTCTGAGCAATTCTGACTCCTCCAAGGCCCTGCCTTCCAAGACAAGGGTTCTCTTCAGCGTTGGGTCTAGCGTTCCCTCGTGCTGGATTGCAGCCAAGATGTCGGCGACGCTGGCTGTCTCCGGCAGCTCTACTTCAGCCCGCAGCTTCCCAGACAACTGCAGCACGCGCACTCTGTACTGCATGGCTGTCATGTCTGCACCTGAGCCCCTGAATCGTAATTGATTGCATGGGCCGCTGGGCCATTGGTACAGCTCCTCTCCGAGCCAGCCAGCTGCGAGGTTTAGCTGTTTAGTTTCGGGAGCTGAACCAGGGGCCAGATGGTGTTGGACTTGCAGTTGGCACACAGGCTACAAACGGAAGGGTGGAGCGCTTGCAAACTGTTAACTGTGGGTCGAGATCACCAAGATTCCTCCGCTTATTCACCCAAATACGTACTGATTCTTCTTGTCATTGAACCTGATGCCGCCAAGGATCATAAACTTTTCTTCCCTGCAGGCCTCCAGAGCATGGCATGGCATATCTGTGCCAAATCGCAACGCAATCCATATCGATGTTCTGCACTATACGAGCATGTATTTGCAGGAGCCGAACGGATCATTTCACGGAGAAAACAAGCTGAATTGCAGCCCAGCCCGTGCGCAGACGAGCCAAATGGCCAATCGCTTTTTGAACAAGGACAGGTGTTGTAGCTCTAGCTTTGTCGGTAGTGAAACCTGCAGCCGCATTCCTATGCGGTGGGAATTGCAGGGGGTTCTAACTAAGTCGTCTGCTAAACTTACCCGATGCAAATCTCGGTCGGGCCTTTGCTGCAGAGGTAGTCGCCAGCGGCGATGGAAGATGTCATGATCTCGGACTTCTCCGCGGTCACCCCCATCTTACCGAACAGTTGCATCAGGTCCTGGCAGTAAACGACACAAAGCCCTAACCCATGACCCAAGCGGTTGAAGCTTAAACCCGAGGAGTCGAAAAGCGATGCACCCAGAAACCGTTTCGAACCAAGACTTCTGCACTTCACGTGCAACACGCCACGGAGCCTACAACATCCCAGCATGTCCCAGCGATCCAGGTTGAGGGCTTTCTTAAGAGCATTTATCGTATTCAATGCTTCGGCTCAGGGGCTAGGTACTGCAACTAGTCGCGTCTGCCGATTTCAAGGGTCGGAGGTTTGGTGTAGTAAAACAAAAGTATGGGTAGGTTTAGAGTCTTTGTCCTCTTGACTTTTCGTCGCGTTGTTCGTCATGAAGAGGACCTTAAAGCTGAAGGGATCGAATGAAGTAGGGCTTGATAGCAATAGAGCTGCCCTAATATGCAATCACCCATAAAGGTATCTAAGAAGCCCTAATGAGCCCTGTATAGTAGAAGCCAGAAAGTTGGAACATGGCTTTAGGAGGATTAGTGCCAGGATCCGTTATACTTTACCGTAAGGGCATGGGGATCATGTTCCAACTTTCTGGCTTGTACAAAAACTGCACTCAAAACAAAACCCTAACCTTCTCTGATCTTTGACAATGCTCTACGTGTGTAGTGTTGGTTCCGAGCCGAGCTCCTCACCGATCCCTAAAGTGTCCCTTGTCTGCCACTCCCTAAATTGTCCCTTAACCTTAAACCACATCGAACCAGACAGAAACAGATAGAGAAAGACTGAACTGAACATGTGCATACGTATATGTATATACACATGTCTATGTGTGGGTAACTGTGTATGTCTGTATGTATGTACGTACAGCAAAGAAAGAAATACACTCAAAAACAAACTGGTATATATTCTCAGAAACATCTACATATGTTACATATGCATATATAAACTCATTTAGCTTCTTCAGTCGCACACCCGTTGCCAGCAACAGCTGCCACACGACCAAAACGCAGAAGCGGGTCTTGAAACTAACGATCACGGATGGCAAAGGAACAGCTTCCTCAATCTTCCTCACAGGTTTGTAAACTCAGGACTCTGCCGGAAGCAACGCAAGACGCGGTTCAGCCTCATCGCACTTATGACTTATGACCCAACTGAGCAGGTTTTCCAGGTAAAGAGCTTCAGACTGAACGGGTCAGAAAAACCAGGGATCCCACATGCTCTCACTGGGATGAAGCCTTCGCAAGAAGGCAACACCGCGCAGTCAACCACGGCAGTAATATGATTACTCTTTGCACCAGCCGGACGACAGAACATCAGGATAGACTGACCCACAGTTTCGGGCTCATAACTTGAACCAGTGGTGTACAACTGCCAGTGAAAGGGAGCACTCGGCAGTTGCAGGGAGCTTCGTAGTAGTAGTTGTTTCCCATACCCTTACCTCGGAGCCGCGACGACTTTAGCCCAGGCGCCGTCTTCCCAGCGGCACGCAAGGCCTCCGACAGCAAGACGGAGAAAAGCTCTAAACCCAAAACTCTATGAACCCCCAAGCTCGGAATTTAGGAAGGAAACAACGAGAAGAGTACTAGAAAGACATCCGTCAACTGGCCGCTCCGTGCAAAGGAGGCGTAGTCCAGACCGGAATTGGCAGTCTGGTCCAGGTCATGTGGACTTATCATCAACACGCGTCTTCTTGCTTACACACAAGTGTGCGGCGATTTCAGAAAGAGCAGAGGCCCAGAATGTTCCGAAGGCTTGATCTTGAGTGATGCCATTTCCTCCCTGAAAGAGGCTACTCTCTGAAACTTGGCCATCGTGACTACAGCTGACGCTCGACTACCTGCCATCTTTTTTCCGTCCCCGGTTGGTTGAGCTTACCTCCACAGCTTCTCCAGCGCCCAGCACCGGAGTACCAGCATTGTGGATTACACCATCGATGTCCTCGGCCCGGATTCGACTCTTACGCTTGGAAAACCCAGGTAAGGCTTCACGACATCAAGCCCAGGAGAAATGAGCCCGTTCAAGGCTCTGTGGCTTGGGTTCGCAGCGCTCACACTTGGGCACATCCGGGAAATGTTCCGGGTGTCTCAAGGCTGGGGTGGCTTTGACTACGCCTGCCTTCCGAACCCCCTGCAAAGTACTGGATCCCACTGGGAATAGCAAGGCTGCGAAGATGAAGCACTTCATCCGACGAAGCCAACGCCTGCAGGCCCATCAGCTGTCATGCTAGGGAGGCACAGCTCTCACAACAGAGCGAATCAGGGAAGAAAGACGTGAAGCCCCGTAGTCTACCCGGCGCGTAAAGACGAAATAATTACAGTCATGGACTGCTGCTTCACGGACATGCTCGAATCGAAGCTGGAGTCTGGAAGTTATAGGCTCACAGACGCAATCAGACGATCTTGCAAACGCCAGCGGCGTGTCAAGAATCCCGTGTGCAGACCCCCATCATTGTGAGGGCCTGTGCTTCTCGTTCCGCGCAGACAGGCGTGTGGGAGCCACTCGCCGGCTCCAAAGAAATAGTCCGAGGCCTGGCTAATTAGAAGGACTTTTCGGCTTAAGGCTTCAAAGGGTTTAGAGCGGGCTTCAGGGGTTTAGCGCTGGAGGGCCTGGTGGTTTCGGCGTTTGGGCCTTCCTTTGCTTCCCGCGCGGCTACTGCAGGGCTCTGCCGGTATCGCAATGTGTCAATGCGGCCGGTTGAACGCACTGAACAGCATCCTGCAGCCTCTTCAACCCATAAACAAGTGGCATGGCTCTTCAAGGCTTCGGCGCTCTATGGGCTTGGTGAGACGTAGGGCCTGATGCTTGAAAGGGCTTACGACTCATCTTTCAAGGCCTCGGCCATGCCAGAGCGGTACCGGCTTACGACACCCCAACTCAGCGCTGTAAATTGTGGCAGTGAGGGCAAAGTCTTGGATTGCGGGATTATCATGTCCCCAAGCCACGAACAAACAGACAAGCCTATAAATTGACACACTGATGGACCCTCAAGCCTCAGCCGAAAGGCTAAGACCTTAGCTTTATTACCTGATTTGAACAGTAACGGATGTGGGAACATGGTGTTTTATTTTCTGGGTAGTTGTTGATCGCGGAAATGCTCGCCACGGCCGATGCAACAGGGGTGGGTATTGGTGATTCTAGAGGAACGGACAGCTTCTATATGTGCTTGCTACCACTATGTCCGGTCAGGCCGCACTTCTGCCAATGCTTTTCTTTAGGTTGCAGGCCTTAGGTGCAATGTTGTTTCTGGAGGGGAAATGGCCGGTTGAAGCCATGGCCCTCGACCCTATCCTAAAATGTTGTGCGACTTGGAGACCCTCCGCAGCTAGTCTCCATTTTGTTGAGGCACTTGTCAGTTCACATTCAAGACTGAACCCTCAGCCTGTGAATCACACAAACCTAACTGGCCCCTAGCTTCCAACCAAACCACTGCCAGAGCACCTAGCCCTACGTAGCCTTAAGCTAAACCGCTTCACTCTAGCCTCGGTGTGCAACTGGACTGGGCCATATAAACGATGTGAATAGTAACGATGGGACACTGATGGGACATGTTGAAGGTCGCCAACCATGCCCACGCAGCATCGCATAGAGTAGCAGAGGAGATGAGAGCCATGAAAATCCAAAGCCCTAGCCGGTGTCGTTGTCGCCCGGACATCCTGGACCGCTTGCTACCCATGCCAGTCCCGATAATCCCCAGACCCTAAACCCTGCCACCTGCTCCGGCAAGTGCTAGCGCAGCACCCACGGCCGGCCCACGCGCAGCTCCCATCGCGGTTCAGAGTTTGCGTTTGATACCGCAGGATTCAAACTCTTGGGTTGGTTCAGGGCCTCGACTTTTTTTTAATCTGACAGGAACATTTCCAGATTGGTTGGCTCGGTTCAACAATCCCCTATCATGGAGGGAATGGAAAGGAAGACCCAGTTTCAACACTTCGGAGCTTGAAACAGGCCCAAGACATTCTGTATACTGGGATCGAAAGCTGCCCCAAAAGAAGAAATCTTCGATGGTCTCTGTTCTGAGACTCTCAACAAATAAAGGACATTCACTGGCTGACAACAGCTGCTGGCTCGCCGGCACGCCAAACAGCACAGCCAAATTTTCAGCTCGAGAATAATGATGGAATCCAAACTGAACTAAACGTGTCTTTACACGAAGCTATAGCGGCTATGTTCACTTGAGTTTGCCATCCCTACCATTCATGTCCAACTCCAACATAATTTGCGCTGGCACGGCAGTGCCGGCCTTGAGAATGAAAGAGCCGAGTTCATAATCGCGTGGTCAATGGCAACAGTAGCAACAAGCTAGCTTACAAGCCTGAGCTCCGGATCTCCAGCACGTACACAAATCAATCAAGCAGACCAAGCAGACTGCTGCAAGCGCTCGTGGAAACATCTCTTCCGCGAGATATGTAAAACGATGGTGTAAAACAGCAAGAGGTAAGGAATTTTGACGGCATCCGCGCTAAAACTGTGGTACTCTCCCACGGGTTTAATCACAGTAAGGCCAGACCTGGACAGTCGCAAACATACCTCACGATGAGCTTGCACCTGAGAATGTGCTCCCATGTTGGAAGCGATTCAATCCAACTTAAGCGCTTCAAACAGGTGTAGCAGCCGCCGTACCAAACGACGGCATGTTTTGCTGGTGCCTTCCACACCGTCAAGGTCCATGCAAAAAGCTGTCCCTCACACAAGAAACCTGTTCACAATTGCTGCTCCGGCTGCTCTGGCAGCCCACAGCTCCTCCTGGAGGACAACTACTGCAGCACCAAAGCGCGGGTTGTCGCGGTACACAGTGACTTGGCCAGCCTGAAGATCGAAGGCCACGGTGAACAGCGTGTCCTCCTGGGTGGCATCGTGGCGGCGGAAGATGGGATATTCCCTGTCGCTGGTATCACCCAGCACGTGCAAAGCATCCGGCAAGGTTTGCGGTTTTGGCTCTGTAGCTTCGAAGGTCGCTCGCCGGTGCTTGCTGCTCGTCAATGAGGAGCTCGACTGCTGGACGCTCATGCGGAGGTACTCGTTGGCATGGAACCAGGTCCCGCTCACCGTCTTCACATTCGACTCCCCGCCCGGCGCAGTCTCCGCTGTCAGCAATATGGAGGCGAAGCCACTGACGACACCAACATTCAAGTTCTGCCCCAATGCTAAATCCCGAGGCGCAGCCAGCGACACCGCCTCCTGTGCCGAACGTGCCTTTTCGAGCACATCACGACACACAAATGCCACGGCAACACCGCCGCCTGGCTTTAACTCAAGCGGATACAAAACATTCCACGTCATGGCCAGTCCGTGGCTGTTCCAACCCGGTGCCCAACCTGGTAGGACCCCAGGGTAGGTAAACGAAACATACGAAACGTTCACACCTGCAGGAGAAGTCGAGCGCCACGTTTGCCGGACAAGGTACATCTTATCGAAGAGGAAGCTGTCATAGTCCTCGTTGTGTGCGAAGCCGGTCACACCCTCCCGAACCACCATCACGTCTGTGCAAGCGTCCGGTACTCTTCTCTCAGACGCATCTGCCAGCGCGGTCTCCACCTCCTGTCGTAGGTTAGCGAGCAGCACGAAGTCCTGCGGTTGCCCGCTGCCCTCCGCCATGCCATACACTTCCTGCATCAGGAGCGGGTACCGCTCAGCGTTGATGTCGGCCAACATCTTGAAGATTCTTGAACCAGTGCTGTTGACGGGTGAAATCTTCTGATGAAGCTTCTGGAGCCTGATGTCCAAACTGAATGCCTGGCCGATCAGCCCGGCGAAACGGGCACCCAGTTGCTTCCCGCAATCGAAATGCCCTTCGGAAGTGTTCGGGCAATCGAATGCAGCTTCAGGAAACGGACTCGGTTTCACCTCACCCTGCACCTCCGTAGCGTGGCCCCCACCCCACAATATGGCAGCGCCAAGGCAGACCACCCGCCTTAGAGGCCATGATACCATGTCGCAAACATAAGTTGAACAATGCGAAAACAACAGATGATGAAGCTGCCTGGCTGGAGAATGATACCATAACTCATTTTTTTAAGCTGCTTCAGCTACTGCAGCCAGAAGGCATGACTTGCATCCGGAGTCAGCACGGATGCCAAGCCACACTCGATCAAGCGGCCACGCTGCACGTCGCCAGTATCACCCGGTAGGACGGCCAGTCTCCATAGCTAAGCTAGTGCTGTAGAACCTAGGAAGTTTGAAGATGTGCGCAGAAGCGTGATTATGTCTCCGATGAACTGTGAGCCTGCAGGCTGACGGAAGTACGAAGTCCTAGAGACCTCAGACAAGGTCGTCGGCGGGTCCTCCAGCAAATGGCTCCCGTAAATCAGCAGCCTCAGAGCAAAGACCAGCTGTTTGCGGATCCAACCAGCCCAATCAACAAGAGAGCCTTCATTCATGTGGTCGTACAAAGAGCTCCAGACAAGTGGTTTCTGGACAGCACACGGTGCGCAAGCTGCGAAAAGCGATACTAGGAAAACTACATGCACAAGCGAAGCATCCATGCCCACATCCGAACGAACAGCCGTTCCATCCTTGCACTGACAAATTCGCAAAACACGCCTCACGCACTGGCCTGACCGCATGATGTGCACAAGACTGTCGACTTCCGTGCGTGCTGGCAAGGCATCAAAATAATGAAACTGTGGCGTCCTCAAGACTCAAGAGCCCATGAGCCCCAGAGAGAAGACCTACAATATCGAAACTCCCTGAGTTTTAACTGCAAACTCTGTCCCTGCTTCTCGCCATCCCAAATATGAAAAGGCCCAGCCACTTCTTTGGAACGCAGCCACGGATGACGCAGGTGCCTGGGAAGAAGGCGCTGCTTCCAGGCACTCTGTCGAAGCCTGTAGTTATGCTAGCGCAAGCCAACACTTACGTCCCCGCAAATTCGAAAGTCGAAACCCAGCCAAAACAAAGATTGATTACACCCGAGAAAGCTCCAGTGCTCAGCTTCGGACCTCCCAGTCCCCCTGCTGTGAGCTTCGTGCTAACAATGGCAAAAGGGAGTTCTGCAATGGCCACCTGTTTCAGGATCTAGGTTTTGTCTTGCGTGTTTTGGGGTTTGAGCGTTTTGGGGCTTAAGCACGCGACCTGTCCTTGAAGCTATGGCGGCATGCGGTGACAACAATGTGCTGTAGAGCTAGCCGGAGGTTAGCACCTGGGTTGCGCACTGCCGCTGGGTCACCGCCGCTAGCTTAACCGTAATCGGATCATAGTCTCGTGACTCTTCCTCATTTTCATAATCACCATCACAAGCAGCAGCATCAACATGATCATGCTTCCCTTCATCATACTTCGTCCTCCCTGCGTTTGTCATTACTGAATCGGGCCATCAGCCGCATAACAATCAGCGTCATTGTGACGTCCTCCACCTCCACCACCATTCAATGCAGCCGTCTGGCTTGGAACTTAGTGTCCGAATTCGCGCCGAGCTAGGCGGGTAGGTTCGCAAAAGCATCTACACAAGTTAGCAATTCTCAGGCTCTTCTTCTCAGGTCTACACTCTACACTCGATAGACTCATCTTCAAGCACTGGCGCACGATATTTCGAAAACCTTGGCATTCATCATCTCATTCCACCAATGCGCCAGTTCATACGGCTACTGCTTTCCGATCTGGAGCATGAGTTTGCAGGAGGCTGCTGCCAGGAAGTAGGAGGAACCCGCTGAGCAATCGGGGAATCCGACCTAGATTCGTTTGCAGTTCCCTCGTATTCCCGAAACCTCCAGGCCAGGTCTGCAACCCGAAACCAAGACATCCCTCGACTCCAACGGTCTAAAGATGCAGGCACGAACGCGGACACTCACCTTGGCGCCATACTGCATCGAGGCCCACCGCGACCCTCGCACGCCCCCACTGCCGCCCCCTATGGTGAAGAGGTCGAAGTCATACCTGGAGAGAATGGGTTAAGATTATAGGGTGAAGTTGTCATGATACAGCACCAGGCTCAACAATGAGATGACCATGATGAGCGCTTCAAAAAGCGGCAGCACGAAGCAACAGCTGTAGCGGCCAAGTTCATGCCAACAACATAGATATTGGTGGCAACCCGGGCATGGTCTTCATTGGTTACTTAGTCTACTTTCCCATTCGGGTCGTGCAGCCTTTGTGCTAGTCCTGATGCTTGGCGATTCAACCCTGGCTTTCGGGCTTCTAGGAGTTTAGGGTTCGGAAACTAGAGTGGGCGTGACGTATCCTTGGACCACAGGTTGGCTTGTAGATCCGACATGATCTGGCTATCAAGCAAACTCGCAGCTTGTGCGACATGTCTCTGCACGGATTTACAGGCCCGACCCCACCTTATCCTTTCTGCTAAACTTGGGACTAAACTTGGGTCATATCTAGGAATCGCTGCAACTCCCGGCTTTATCAGCCCCCAGCCCCAAAGCCTGCCCGTTTGAATTCAGCTTCTGCAAATCCTTTACTTGCCGTCCATGGAACATGCCACTGCAGTGGCGTTGAGACTCTAAATTCGGAACGGATGGGAAGTTACTAGTACTTCAAGAAGTGTGCCTTGTTGGATTATGCTGATGGACCAATTCCAACGGGCCCTTTCGGCTGCACAGTGTAAGGCAGCGTTGCCTCATTCTGGCGTTTCATCGTGCACTCTTCGTAGCCTGGCCCTGCGCGTAGGCCCTCCTATACTTTCTTGCTGAGATCCTTGTATAATTCCGGAACCTGGGCACACGCGCATTGTACATAGGGCTTCGAGGGCTTAGGACGGAATACCGGAATACCTGTAAACTGCCATGGACCTTTAAGGTGAGCTTCATAAAACCGATAGAGCCCGGGTCTCGTCTCTCAGCTGCCGACTTCTCGGAGGCCGCTACAGCTGTGTGCCTGAGGAGTGTGGCTTCCTTTTAGGATCAAGCTTGGGGTGTTTACGGTTTTTAGTCGTGCAGTACAAAGTCAGTTTAGGTAGGTGGGGCATAACAAGCCGGGTCCAGAGAACGAAACGCGCGATACCACCACAACTTTCAAGAGTGTCATGTAACAGCGGACCCTGACTCCGACCTCCGGGCGCTATGCCATCCAGGAAAGGGCCTGCGCCGCCTTGCAGGTTCGAGGTCTGATTTCTCTGGTAATATGCCGTGGGAAACTCGTAAAGGGTTTGCGTTCCGCCTCTCGGCGCTCACTTAAACCTTTGAGACTTTACGCTCTCGCAACTCGGACAATCCAGACGAGGTTTGAGACTTTAGGGTTCTGAGAGTCGAAGGTTCAGGACTCTGGGACCTCAGAAGCTAAGGAGCCGACCGGCTGGCCACCGAAGCCTCGCAAGAGCACCAGGGCTACATTTCCCATGCAACTTAGCGGAAAAAACGAATGGCCTTCCGTGATTCAAGGGGAATCCCAGTTCCAAGTACGCCTCTCTCTCTCTCTCACTCTCTCTCTCTCTGCCTCCCAAGCACTCGCAGGCACACCTTAAACCCGGAAAGGGTAGAGGCCCTCAACGAAAAACTTGCATGTTGAGGGATCCGTTCCTGGTTTTCCCTTCAAGCTGCACGAATGCGCAATCTGTTTCGGCTCGCTCAGCGCTGGTCTTTCAGATCGGCAACAGAATTAAGAATCCTTCATCACCCCACCACTCTCAACGGTCTCAATGACTGCCTGTCCACGTCTATGCCGTTCCTACGAGCAATACACGAACAGCCTTAATTCATCAACGCCGAAAGCAGAGAGGCCCTGATTCATTTCAACCTCGACCAGACCATGCAAACTCTGGGGGGCTCGCGGCAGCCAGGGCCCCTGTGAGAAGGCCCCTTGCTCCCAGCAGCCCTGGCGGCACGCGGCAGGTCAGGCGCTGGCCCTCTTGTCTGTGTGAGCAAACTAGGTTTTAATCATTGATCGTATAGGGCTGCCTGCGCCGAGTCCACTCAGGCGGGAGGCGGAGGAGCTCGAGGCTCTAGAAACCAAGCCTGAACGGCGCGTTCGCTCTTCATGAAGCCCATGGGTATGGCCAGGATGTTATTTTCGCAGGCCAAGGGCACATGTTTGATGCACAACCTGCAAAGTAGAGCGACGGCACGGCAGCTGCATGGGGTTTTGACTTGAAGCACTAAGCCACGTCAATGGCGTCAGTCTTCTCGTCAATCAGCTGCAGAGCAAGCCGGAAGAGCCTGGACGGCGACAAGGAACACTTCAACAGCTGCCAAGCACGGACACTCTGACAACCCAAACCTCAAAAGTCCAGGCCTGATATCACCTGCATAGACCATCACAAATACAAATAATTGAGATTATCACACACAGACACACACACACACACACGGATTCCATTCAAATACATCGATGCAACCCCATGATGCTGTGGTTCACAATGCCGGGGTTCTGTGGTGTTGCCCTCCTGCACATGCTGACACGCTTCATGCAGGGTGCTGCCAAGGACGGATGTCTACCTCAGTCTCCCGTTCTTGAGTATCAGTGCTCTGCGTCAAACGACAGCACTACGAGTAGCCTTGCCCGAGGTCTTTTGAACAAATTCACGTGAAGCTAAGCTTACGATAGGCTCAGGTCACTGGCCACACATACGCGCACTGGCGTCGATATTCACACGTTGGGTGCATTGGGTGCCATGTATTTTTGTCACTCGTGCTCGACAAGTCAGACGAGGGTTGAGAAGAACTCGACTTCACAAGGGTGCCATGTATACATATGTATGTATGTATGTACGTATGTATGTATGTGATTTGGTATGAACAAACTATAATCATACACATGTCTACAGACATGCTTCTTCTATATATGCATACAGATCTGCGAAAACAGACTGCCGCACAAGTTGCTGCAACCCTAGGGACGCATGTAAACATGAACGCACACGTAGCAACTCTGTCCTTGAGATACAATGCTAATTGACAACTCGAGTATTTGCTCCATGCATAGTGCCGCCCAATGTATGCAATGCAGAAACAAGACCGCTTTCCACCTCCCACTTCATCTTAATGAGCTGGCAACTTCCGATGCCGACTGCAAGGGTCGGGCTAAGTTGGGGCCCAGGCTGAACCCTGATAGGTTGAGTGATGGTATCCCACGACTCAGGACTTCGGACGTCGTGGTGCTCATACGTACATGTGCTCATCCGGAGCCCAGATTGCCTCTGCACGATGTGCACCACTAAGTCAAGGAACCCCACGACCCGAACCCCAATCGGTCCAAATCCTCGCGGCCTCTTCTCTCCAAGAACCACTTCCAGCGCTCGCACTCGCCGAGGGTCAGCGCAGCCAGCTGCGAGCTCCGCAGCATCTTCAGCTTCCGACCGAGCCTCCAAGCCAGAAGATGTCAGCTGCGATAGATCTCAGCAAGTCCCCATGCCGAGCCGAAAACGCCGCTCCTTTCAGATCTCTTATCCGATCCTCATACCCGATATCACCGAAGCCCCCGACTCTGAAAACCCGGAAATGTATGCCCTTTACTCCTATCTTCAAACCTTCTTCATGAGCGACGCATACACCCTCGTCTTTGGCCTTACAATATTCAAAGATGCTTGGCCAAGGCTCACATATCCAGGTGTACAATTTCTGGGTGAGACAGGCAGTGCCCCACATGTTAGGCTCGATCTGCTCCCGATCTCCGATGTCCCTTCACTTACGACACGTTATTGTTAGGTATACGACGCTATACAAATAACTCTTCTTGAATGCATCATTCTTCCTATCCGCATTCTGTAGAACTACACCTAATTCACATCGATGCTTTCAAATCGGTGCTTCTGGTGACGGCTGCGTCAAGCATTGCTTGCTGCAGTAACCCGCTCATGGCTCTAATCAAAAATGGTTATGGCTTCGCCGATGCTGGCTAGGAAGCTGCTGCGACTGCAACAGCAACAGATTGGCCGTTCCAAGCAGTAAGGGCTCAGGTACAGGGTCAAGGGTCTCAAGGGCTTCAACCAAGCATTTCTGAAAATGCGGGTCCGGAGGATCGGACAAGGTGAGGATGTCGAAATCTAGAAACTTTGGGAGAGATTCGTGGAAGCGTGTGGAGGACCGCTGGGCCGAAATGCAACGAAGCAGGGTTTGGGATTCGGGCTCGAGGGTTAGGAGAACCCAGTCGCAGCTCTTACTGGATTTTGCTGCCTTCGGGGGTGTAGGTCGTTTGGCTTCTGGCTGCTTCTGGCTTGGAGTGTGGATGTACTTGCTGTTCCAGCTGTCCGGGTGTTGGAGGTTTGTGAGGATTTACTCATATACAAAAACAATGGGAAGCGCATATCATCAACACTCATGGCACCAGGCACCAAGGAACATTATAAGAATAACTACCGCAGACATCAGACGGGAACTGTGTTAAAGCATCGGTCAACAATCTACCAAACCACCATCCAAGCTCCCAGGACCCCGTACCGTCACCCTGGGTCCCCAATCCCTGAAACCCAGCCGATGAGATCTGTCAGGCTGCGAATTGACCTTGCAGTTGCTGAAGGAGCGCCCTGGCATGGCTTTCTGTGGTGGCATGTTCACAGTGACGCCAAACTATAAACACCATAGAAGGAAAGCATCTGCCGCTAAGTTGTGGCACCAGTAGATGAAATTATGTTCACGTCGCATCGATTTGCTCGCTGTTGGAGGGGTGGCAAGCATTGCGGGCCTTTCAATTTTGCAGTCGCCAAGGTAATCCAGATCCGGGTGTAGGTTCGTAGACCGCAAAACTTGCATGCCGTTCTCGCTGGCGGCTTCTTTTGATGAGCTTCAAACCCAATTTCGGGTTCAAGCGTCGCCTCAGCCCGAACCAGGGGTCTCGCGTGGGTTATCATGGCCTCGAGTCCAGATTCGTTCTCGCGGCTGGATGCGGCTGGCAGATTTACATGGAAAATCAGAGAGCCATCCTGGCAGACGGCAAAGAACAGGCTCCAAAAAAGAACAGTCATCGTGGTATGAATACCGGTTCGGGGTCTCGGGTGGGGGCTGGCTGTTCCAAACACCTCAAGCCCTCGGAACTCCAAATGTTCAAACCGTTTCGGGAAATCTGAGAGACTCGGAAAAGCCAGAGGCTCCAAACGGCATCCGGAAATCAATGATCCCCAGCACAGTTTCAAGCCTATCCTCAAGGGATCTGACAAGCCTCAGCTTCGTCAGAGCCCTTCTTCGGGCGTTGGGGTCGCTGTCGCTCGCTGCCAGCCTCGGCTTCTTGGTCTCGGCGAAAGTTTGGAGGGCCTGTTTTGTCTGCCTCCTACACTGGGTAGGGTTTGGGGTGGTTCAGGGTTCGAAGGCTGCGGCATCGTAATCTTTTGAGCCCATGGATGAGAAGCCGATAGGTCCCAGCCGAAAGCTCAAGGTCTGCAAACTAAGTAGCAAAGACCTGTTCCGGCCGAGCTTCCGATCCGAACTCAGGCCATCCGCACCAAGACCTGTGTAGGACGGAAACGAAACAAGTCAACGCACAGCGAGCTCCCGGCCCTAAGAGCTTCAAAGCTTCCTCAATAGTCAGCCTAATATCTGGGCAGCGTTTCATCAACCGGCACGCCTGGCTTCTCAGCGTTTCTGTTTGGCTCACCATCCCAATCTATGCAAGCAAGCCACTCCGGCTCAATTCGTCCAGCCTGGGAGGACTGACTCCGGAGGCGGTGGGTTCGTGCGGCACGGGAATCGCGTCACGAGCGTTTTCGGGAGTATGCAAAAGGGCACATGGAGGCTCCGTGCCACTTGGCACCTGCACCCATGCCACTCCCATGCAGGGAAGGGCTCAACTCCAGGAATCTGAGCAGTTCTGTGCTCAGAAACATTTCAACACAAGACTGGTGCTGCTCGGCTGAGCTTCCAGTTTGTTAACACCACGTCGGCCTGACGTAATGAGCCTGGACTGGAGGCGCCCACAGAATTTCAACATATGGTCTATGTACAGTCGTAAGCCTTTTTCATTATCCCGACCCCAATCATACAAAGCTCAAAACACCTCAGTGAATACGAACATCAACAAGTGCATACAAATGGTTATACATGGACCCTAAGCGCCATGGGATCCTAACGCGGCCCCATGGCATCGCAAAATCGTAAACCGCACATACCCGTTACTCTCACAAAAACAACAAAGCGTCCTGCACCATACACAGAACCCTAAATCTTGCCGTGCATCGGAATTTCGATGGCTTCAAACTTTCCGGCACACGAGAAACCCGCATGTAAACTGTTAATAACTATAGGTCATGGTACTCAAGAAACAGGGAGCTCCTTCCATGTTAGAGACGCCCCACGCAAGAAGAAACTTTACACAGCCCCAGTGCTGTAGCCAGGGGGCCGCAGGAAGGCCAGAACCCGCTCCAGCTGATCAGACAGCGTCTTGGCCATCAGCCTGGAAGCGAAGAGACCATGGACGATGGGGGAGTACTTTGAGGTTGAAGGCCTCGGCGCTCAGACTCCGACACTTCAGGAGAGGCATGTTCAAAGCAGGCCTCTTTTTGGTGATACCCCTATTGGGGAACCAAGCACAACACAACCCAGTGCGGAGGGCATAGTATGAAGTCGAAACGACAAGAAAACGACAAGGATGACCCACCGCAACATGTGCCCTACGCCTGGGCTTGAATAAGCAACTCCATACCTCTCTGGTCGCATATCCTCTGCTGAATGCACAGGCTCATCTGTGCCATTAAACGAGATTGCTTCAAGTTTGCCCTTGAAGTGCGTTTGATAGCCACACAGCTCTGGGGCAACAGCGTGTAGATGTTTTCTTGCTGGTTTTGAGAGGGCCAGGGCCACACTTACAAGTTCGAGCCTGTGATGGTGACTGTAATGAATCGGGGCCCTGATCCAGAAGGTGACGGTGTCATGAGGGAGGAGCAGGTGACTCTAACTGGAAGGAGCAGAGAGCTTCCATTTTGACAGTCCTTGACACGTAAATGACCTCGTGAAGATCATGCACTCAAACTACAACGGAGTTGCACATGCGAAACAAACTCGAAACCGAGTTGGATACAACCGAACTACGAGTTTACCGGGACTGGGCTTCTTCTCGACGGCTCCGAGACCGGCAGGTCCTGTAGAATGTCCTACATGTCGGCGGTAAACAGACATTGTTCACTATCAGCCCCAGCGGCACTTACATAAAACCTGCATGATATTGCAGCATGCACTTGGTGGCTCGGGCGGATCAACAGTAAACTCGAAAACCAGAAACCCTAAAGTCCACCTCCTCGATTCGACACTACATGCCCAAACTTCCATCTCCCCTCTATGACGGGAGCTGCCGATGCCTGTAAAACACCCAAATTTGTGGATGCTTCAGAAACTGCGACGTGAAATATCTCTAGGCATGAAATCGGATCTGCTAAACCATCCTAAACCCTACGACCCCAAACTGCTCGGCCTGACGTGCAGCGCCGCTTCGGTATGTCGTTCTGGGGGTGGCGGCAGCAGCTGCAAGAACTCATCCTGCGTCTCCTCACAACTTCTTGGTGCCCTGCGTGCTTGGGGGCTTATTGCATGGCCTCTAGGGGCTTATAGTGGTGCAAAGCTGGAGATCTTGAAATCGAGTTTTATTGTCAGTGCCTGGAGAGCATGACTACAGGAGTGACTACAGCTGCATGCAGAGGTATGCCCTTGGTTTTCGGTCTTCCTGCAAAACACAGGTCGCGTCAGGATCTCAAAATACTCATTCCCTCGGCAGTGAAAGCAGTCATGTCGTCGCATTGCTGAACGAACGCCGTCCAGTCGCAAGGGCCGCCGGCACGCTCCCAGTGCCGACGCAAAGTCTCAGCTTGCGCTCTGCCACCCCGAGCCTGCGCAGAAATCTGGGGCCCGTGACGAAGCATGAGGTCATAGGCTTGCAAGGCCTCTCGGCCACGGTGAACGAACCTCCCAAACAAGGTATCCCAAGCAGTCGGCACATTGCGCCCTGGGATTAAGCCACCTCGGACGGTTGGCTCTGCCTTCAAATCCTCACGGCATCGTCTGACAGCCTGCGCCACATCCGCACTTCTTGTATCGAGCGAGATCATTCGCACAAGCAAGGTGTTTGCTACCTCCTGCCTCGTAGCCCTTGCATGCCTCTCTGACAAGTGCGGCTTCACCCAAACCGCAAAATTCTGTTCATTCAGAAAGAAGCGGACTTTGGGCCAATAGTGGTTGAAGGACCCCACACAGCAGATTTCGTGGAACAAGTCTAGCACGTCTTGTCCGACTGGCTCGCCCTTCGGCCACAGACTCAAGGTCCTCACACAAAGGTCAATGCTTCCATACTTCATGCATTTTTCACCAAAGCGTGCCCTGTGCCCTTGAAGCCGCAGATCTGTTGTCTCACCCTGGTGGATCGCGGGAAAGTCGTTGTAGAACCGGTACTTCGGACGCAAGGCCCAGCCGCCTCTCAGCACCACCCTCCCAAGCCACTTGATGTCCGGGCACTCTGTTGCAACAGCGGCCAGCTCTTGCCAAGTCTGGGCAGCCACACCAGGCTGTTGTGGCTCAAGGCCTGCCAGGCTCGAGCCGGCCACAGCAGCAGCGGCCTCAGCATCACTTGTACTGGTGCTGGGCAGCTGAAAGTGCGGTTGGTGGATGCCGCGGCCAACGCCTGTCTCGCCGTCTGCGACGTCTTCTTCAGAGGAACTGTCGACGAAGTCCGCTTCGTCCCGAACGAATTGCATGTCCAACCCGGACTCCTCGTAGAAAAGGCAGAGTGTCTCCCAAACCATATCTTCGCCATACTCTGGATTTCGCCTGATGAACCTTGCAGCCATGTCTTTTCCGACAACACAGGAAAAACCAGGAAATATTCCTGGCACCTGCACCGTCACATCACCCCTCATCAGCATCGGCTTGCCGTACAGAGAGAACGAAGCGTAATGAGTGCAGAAGGCGGCCTCGAATCGAGACCTCATTGCAAAGCTGTCCTCGTCACACCCAGAGCCATAAAAGCACGGCAGTACACGCGCCGATCCCAGCACATCATTTTCAGGACTCGTCCTTCCAGTGAGACTGTATTGAGCTTGATTCAATTAGGGGGGGGGGCATGCAGCAACATCCATATCGTCAGGCAACAGTTTTATGTTCAGGACAAACGCTTGCCTTTCCTCCTGCTTGCCTGCATACTTCCGGCTCGTATAAAGAGTGAAAGAAAACGCGATCGAACGAATTTTACAGACTGTGTTGAAAGTTGCAGGCCGCGGCGCGTCCCATGCTGGAAGAAGTTCAGCGAGGGTGTGCCCACTAGGAGGTAGCCAGAGAGGCATGGAAGCTCTCGCCACTGGTCCTCAGATGAATAGCTGTCCTCATTCCGGAAGCATATACGGGTCACGAAGTCGTGGACCAAGCCGCGCTTGTTGGTGCTAGGTTCATTCTTCCACGTACAGAGTTCCACTCGGTCCACGGAGAAGTGGTCGGAAGGAAGCACCGCGATCATGGAAACACCTGCCCGGGTTTGCCATATACCATACATAGATTAGACTTGTATGATCGAAGTATATCGTCGAGATTTGACCTCATGGTTCATGTCCAAACATGCTCCTGGTATTTGCAGCCAGAAGCCAAAACTTCTAGAAGCCGTGCCTGAGAGATTGGGGCACCACAAGTTGTCCTTCAAGCTTTCGAGGATAGCTTTAAGACTCTGGTTGAAGTGATTCAAGGGGCTCGCCCGTGCCCGACACCGAGATAGCTTCGCCAGGACTAGTGCATCACTGTCGTTTCCACTGATGCGCCCGTGCCTTTCAGCCTCCACAACTGCTTCAGGCGTGCCTTGAGCCCATTGCACAAGATGCCACCCAGGATCGGGCATGAGACGTAGGTGAATGTGGCGCAAACACTTGCAGTGGGGCAGGAAATTGCGCAAGACGTCGGACCGACCGGCCAGACCTGGAGAAACTGTAACTTCAAGCACATCTGCATTCCAAGGACAAGCCGAGACATCCACAACCGGCAAAGTCAAGTCCAAATGACAGATTCTGCGCGCACGAATATCCTTCAACTCACTGGTGGAGCACTGGGACTGGATTGTCGCAGACGTCATCGACAAGTGCTGCAGATCTCCTTCGTACAAGTAAATGCAATCCAAGATCTCGCGACGCACACCTTGTCGTGATAACATGGTCGCCAGGCATTCTTTGGACCAGCCGGCCATGATTGAAAAGCTCGTTGACTGGACACAGTTTGAACTCTTTCTTACCCAGGCAGTTCGAAGCCTTAAACTCCAAACTGTCCACAACTGCCCAGAAACCCATAACAATGCGTACCCGAAGATGGACCAGACCACATGCTTCGCAGTTGCTGGCCGGGTCGACGACCGCGGCTTGATCCGGGGGCGAGGCGGCGGGGCGAGGCGGGGTCTTCCACATCTCCTGAAAGCCTTTGAAAAGGAGCCAGCAAGAAGTTAGCTCTGGTAGCTTGCTGAGAGGGTGGAGTGCAGAGCCATGTGAGAACAACCAAAGCCCTCTCAACAAACTTCATTCGAGACAAGAAGTTGTCAGGGACTGCTTAGCGACCATTAACGGCACTTCGCCCAATGCAGTAAGGATGCCCTCCACCTGACATCTTGATTCAGGGCTTCGGTAACGGCGATCTAATCCATCCCCAGCAGAATCTTCATTGACATGGCTTCTATTCCTGCCGGTCCTCGTGCCAGTGCGATTGTATTGGGGTTGCTGAACCAACCTCGAAAATCCTCGAAACGCATCAGCCAAGACCCGAACAGAAGGATGCTCTCCAGTCTGCACTCCGACACCTTGACCCTGGATTCTCCCTAGATCCTGCTCCAGTTTGAACCTTCGGGTTTTCAACTGTCTCACGGACCCCCTCCTCGGCGACTGCCACGCCATCTGTGAGGGGCGCGCTTCGGAGACCTCGAGCAAGACGTCACAACACAAATTTAATCAGTACGACTTCGTGTTACACTGTACCTGTGCCAGTCAGACAAGTGATCGATTTTCTGTACTGTGCGATCTTCGCGCTAACTTGGAACAGGGATTTGTGGGGGTATGTTGTCAAAATACTACAACTTTCTAACCTGCACTTACATCCCTGTCTGCAACCCTGCCTTCCGCCAGCTGCTGGAAGAGGGGCGCCGAGCTGGGATTCACCGGGAAGGTCAACATCAACTCAACGGAGTCGAAGGGATTTCCCTCGGCGGAAGCACAACCCCTAAGTGCACTAAGCCCTATAACCGCTTACAGAGGCCTGAAACCCCAATCTGAGCAGGCACACCTACGCTCGCCCGTGATCACCTTCACAGCAGGCTAAGGCTTCCGGGTTGTCAGAAAGCCGCCCACGTTTTCCAAAGCACCGGGACCCTAAAGGCGAGCAGCAGGAACGACAAAGCCGCCCATGAGCAGCAGCCGCCCGTTGGAGGCCGGGGAGTAGGAATAAAACGCCTCTGGAGCCCATACCAACAGAGATAAGTCTCATGGAGAGTCAATGAAGCAACAGAAGCAACAGCACCCACAACAGCGGCATCAACGATAACGGTGACAAGAATCAGATTCAATTTTTGGAGCGGAGATGTACAAGACTAACACAAATTTACCATAAAGCTACGACCTCAGATTTGAATTCTCGAAGGTCGCAGATGCTTCTTCGTCCCTACACCCACACTAGGGAGCCAGAAACGGTGCACTGCACACGGACCCGCAAAGGAACGGTCAGGAGCAGCACCACATCATCAGTAGCAGCCCATCTGCAAATTTACAAGGCTGATTCCCCGTTTGGGGTGTGAGGTTGAAGACTCTCGGAGATATGTTTGGGGCCAGATTGTTCAGGCTGAGAGGGGCAAGGTCGCGCCTGCTCGCCCTCAGCAAAGGGTTTGAAAGCACGGATCACCAGCATGTCTTTTCCCTCGACGGTCTCCAGCTTGACATCCTCGTAACCTCAAGCCGCGGGCCGTCACGCAGGTGTTTCTTTCGTGTCAAGACCCCAGCACTGGACTTTTCCCTATGCATGATATGTGCGCCAGACTTTGTTTGTTTCTCGCTACGGTGCCGTGCCGTTCTGCACGCTCTCACACAGCGAACTGATGTTTGAACTCAACATTATCACAGGAGTAGCAGGTGCTAAACCCGCTCTCTCTCACGGACTCACCTGTCAACCGCAACGCTAAACCCTCAAAGCCCCAAACCTCAAGCCCGAAACATCTCTGCTTGCAAGCTGCCCACTGCTTCACAGCTGTGGTTGAACCTCGGAAGCCAGAAGCCATATTGAACAAATGCAAGCCCATCAAGCGTGGTGCGCTCATTGCAAATACTTTATGAAAGAGAGACTCGGCCAGGGATTCAGATTTGGAACTGCCCGGACATTACAATCTGAAAAGGCCGTCCTGAGGGTGCAAGGATGGTGTTGAAAGTTGAACAGTACAGTCAGTACAGCTTGGCAGTGAGGATTCCGGGAAGCAGGTCTTCACGTTGGGGAAACGACACTCAGAACTCGCTCATGGCAGGCAAAACTCCACAGGATCCACAACGAGATAAGACTGCAATCAAGAGCAACATGAGCAGATCCCCCCGCACTTGGGGTTTCGGGGCTCACACTCGGACAATCCAGGCGAGGCATGTGGTTCGTGTTGAGTGAAACGTTTCTAATGGGGATGACCTGAAACACCCCACACCAAATATGACACATCAATCATGCCGTAGGGTTCACCGCCATCCTGGAACCCTTCACCCTCATCAGAAGCCACAGCCCGAACTGATTGTCGACTCTGGCGAGAATCATAACACCCGCATCCGAATACGGAACTTATAATTACCAATAGCCAGTTCTACCGGAGGCATTCTCCGAGCAGCTGCGAGGTCTTCGGGGTATGGGCTCTTAGGGCCAATGGGCGCGAAGCTCGGCCAGGTCTCCAAGGTCCCCATGTGCTAAGACGAGAACGAGGACTGTGGCGGGAGAAGCCCCGACAGAGCCACGCCGAAGTCCGTCGCAAAGCCGGCACAACGACAAATGGGACCCGCACACTCACCCAAAGACCCAAAGCACAGCTAACAGGACCACATGACTCCACCTAAACAATCCTAAACACTATACTGTCCGCTCCCCTCCTGTTCGAAAATGTTCCTCCTCCAAGCTGCAGCCTTCAATGTCAACTCTGCGCGACAAAGTTCGATCCAACAACAATCTACAAGTCGAGAAGCATGTCTTGTCCTGGCCCAAGAACCATCAGACGCGATCCGCCTCACAAAGCTCTCTTGCAGCTGGGCTCTGAGCGTATCCCACACGCTCTGAAACTCATCCATGCTCCCAACCCAAGAGCTTAATGCCCAAGGTCTCACATCGCATGAGATCCAGAGCCTCAGGATCGAAAGGTCGACTAAAGAACAACAGAACAAAGGTGCTTGTGTAGGTGATGATGATAATGATGAGGCCGGGGCCTGGGAAAGAGCCGTCAAAAAGGCAAGTGCTGTTAGCATTCCACATGAACCAGGCTATGGACGACACGTTGTTTTACAACTTCTGCCACAATGCCGACCAAGAGGAGTTCTCCTGACCGCCGCAACGACGGAGATGATGAGTAACAGTAACTTGCAACCATTGCGGAACGAGCTGTGATCACAGGCATGATCGCAGTGAGCATGCAGTAACAAAATCGCTGAAAAATGAAAATACTTCTGTAGATTTCAATAGTTCAGAAGCCAGAAGACTGTTCATTACAGTCTGACCAAAATGAGGAATGGTGGTTACATGTGTCTGGTTCTGCGAAGAAATACAAACACACAGCCAAAGTTGTGCATGTTTGTGGTGCTGTTGTTCCTGGTTGTACAGACTGGATAGCTGGGCAAGTACGTAACCAGAAAGTGCAGATGCGGTTTCTGTATTGGGGCGTGGGGTTCGTGGATCATATCAAGGTCTACTTTGATCGAGCTTTGGCTGACCCCGAATCGAGTCATGAAAGGATAGAGAGCAGGTTCAGGTCCCAGCCTTCTCTGTAGAAGGTCATGGCACGAGACAGCAGAATCTTATGGGCCCACAAGAACTTCTCTTGCGTGATGCCGTGGGTCTGCAGGAAATCCCCAATCACTTCCTGGCCCATGTTTCACTGGATTGTGGCGTTGCGCATGTCATGTTGCTCGGATGAAGCATGCTGGCTCCGAAGGGCAGAAAGTGAGCCAGTTCAGCCTCAATTTCAAAGTCCGTAAGGACCCGAAGTCTGACATCTGCCGCCCTTTCGACCCGGCGCCAACGTGCCTCGAGCTCTGCGTGCTCGGCGATGATGTCCTGCGATGCCATGGGGTGGGACACATACAACTCTGGCCATGCAGAGGCTTGGTTCCCGCACAACCAGGACACAGGCAGTGTTGTTCTGACATGCATCCGCAACTTCAGCATGCAGCCTTCTCGGAGCCATGGGGCGAGGAGTGGAGTATCAGAGACTTGCCAACGTCGGAAACCGGCTCTGGCAAATTCTTGGGCGGAGCAATGGCCGCAATCCACGAGACTGCGATAAAGCTTCGGTCCGGCCTCACGCATTTCGTGCGCCACCATCTGCCACTTGCTGCCGGCTAAGACCTCCAGCTCTTCGTCGGTCCTCGTTGGGAGCAGAGGTTTAGGAAGCCAGGGGGCTCAAGTCTATGGATCACCCCTATCATCAACGTGAGAACTTGGCAAAAGCGCGAGGCATTTAAGTGCACTTATAAAGGAACGGAATGTGCCAGCATGATGCTCAACCTTTATGGCGAGGCCTCCGCACCAGAAGCACGGTGGCAAGGTGACGAAAGAATATCCCATGAAGTCACGGCTAGACATTGAATCTGTAATTGGGAATAGTTGCCGAGAATGCCCGAATCACATGCAGTCCAGGGCCGGGTTCTCGCCAGTGCGGGGCTGTCGTGTGAACTGCGAATCCAAGCTTCCAGTCCAACAAGGTCTCTGTGGTCGTTGCACACATCGTCTTGACGTGCTCATGACCTCTGCGAGGCCACTTGGCACTGCTTTTTGCTTGCCAAACTGTTCTGGTCATTCATATCGCTACGATTCAAGTCATAACATATTGCAGCTCCGGTGTTGCCAAAACTGCCGCGATGCCTATTGTCATGTCATTGGTCGTTTGGTGCTTACGGCCTTTGCCACCATGAAGGCCACGCCCTAGACCTTTGCCATCTGGACTGCAGCATCGCCGGAACCCACAATATATACTGTGTCGAAAAGCGAAAGCGCTCCGCTGCCGCACCGTTCGACACCACAAGAAGGTGCAGTGCAATCCTGGACCATGGTGGCCGCATGTGGCTGCTGTAGGAATGAGGACAGCAGTCGTCGTCGTCCTCGTAGTAGTAGTAGTAGTAATAGGAGTAGTCGTGGTAGTCGTCGTCGTCGCTTAGATGTAGCAGTACTAGATAGCAGCGGCATGCAGCAGCAGCGGCAGCAGTAGCAGCAGTGGCAGTGGCAGCGGCCGTGGGAGTGGCAGTGGCAGCAGCTCTGGCACTGGCACTAGCAGGCAGGAGCAGTCGCAATAGGTGTAGCAGCAGTAGCAGTGTGGAGCAGTGGTAGCGAGCCAGCAGCAGCAGCGGCAATAATGGTAGCAGCATCAGGAGTAGTAGTCCTCGTCGTCGCCATCGACGTCATGGTAGTAATTATTAGTAGTAGCAGGATCGAGCTTGCAGGAAGCATCCTGGTTCTGCTTGTGGCAAATTACTGTGCCACATGAAGGAATGAACAAACTGCTGCCTAGCCTGATTGCGGCATGCAGTGATTCATCAAAGTGGGGCAACGTTGAAATACCCACAGAGTCTCACAGCCTTCCGGCTTGCCTTGCCGAGCGTCTGTGTGGCCTGGCGCAGAAACCCTAACACAGCTTGAACTCCACTGTTCCATGTATGGTATATGGTAGCCTGAATCGGGAAAGTACACCTCCTTGAGACTCACTAACCATGTTTTATCATTCTCCACAGCCATACTTCAGTTGCCACGGCCCCGGTTAAATCCCTAAGCCTCAAGAACCCCACATCGTCGGCCCTTACATAATTAAACCTCCGAGCCTTCAAAAGCATCGTGCAGGCCCCTGAACCTTGAACACCTGAATGCTACAATACCTACACCCCAACATACGGCCGCAAAATCACGGCCGCCGGACGCCTTACACCCGCCTACAGCCTAAAACCTGAGAGCCATACAACCCAAAACACACCAAAACCGTAGCTACCCAAAAAGCTCTCTTAAGTTCCAAACAACCCTTGACTTGAGAAAAACAGAAACCCACCAAAACCCTAAAAACCCTCACAACAGCACTAAAACACCCCCATGGGCCCAACCTCCGAGAGCTCGGCCGCCAAGTCCCCGAGTTCCGCCAACGCTCCGGAGGCGCGCGCGGTCTCGGCCTCGGTGAGCCCGGGAACTGCGAAGATCGTCCATCTGAAAGTCATCTTTCCCTATGTTTCATGTAGAATCTTCTGGACAGGCCACAACAGAAGCAAGTCAGATCAAAGGGCACTTCATTGCCAGACATCCGCTGGTCGGCCTTCAACAGAGCCGGACGCCTTGAAACCCGAACGAATTCAGCAAAACGACCCAACTCTGCATTGGCACTGTCGCAACTGCTTCCGAAAGACCGTCCAGCAAACCGACAGGTCCAAGCGCAAAAGCACCTCACCGCTTTCCACCTCCAGTTGGGAGGTTCTTCTGAACTGGGGTTCCGCTTGAGATGCTTGTTTCAAGAATATCGTGAAGAGTCTACGGGACCCCTAAATGCGCAGGGCATCTGACATCACGACACGCTTGATTAAGCCTTCAGAAACTTCAAGACTTCATGTGTCCCGAGAGTGATAGCACGCGCATCGACAACGAAGCGAACCGAAATTGTCGCCGTCACGTCATGGGGTCCCAAGAGTTCCCAGATAATGCGAAACCTGGCTAGGCAGTTGCAGTTACAGAGTTACTAACATGCCTGCTTTCCAGAGCCTTTCCAGACAGCACACAGTTTTGGAGGCGATTGTGAACCAGAACTACTATCCAAAAGTCATCTAGCTCAGTCGCACCCCGACGGCATGCCTATCGACACCACGCAGCTCTGGCAAGCGGCCCCACTGGCACACACTTCAATTCCATTCCCCCGAAACACAGAAATTTTGAATGTAGGCTTACTATCAACTGAGTGTGAGCTGAGCCCGTTCTATGATCATTTCTGATGCCACCAAGCAGCAGCCCGGCGGCAAATCATGCCACTGCCATAGCCCTCCTTGCAACCATGACACGTTCTTTTTTTGTGCAGTTTGAGCTCGGGCAGCTTGCAAGATGATACCCGAGGCACAAAGCCATCAGCATCCAACATCCCCAGATTTTTCGTTATCGCCTTTACGATCTCATCAGAATCATTACAGTCATGATGGAAGGATTCGCAAGGACCAGAAGCAACAAGTAGTAAGCAACATCTCAAAACTGCGGAAACTGAACTCGAAACCCCCAATGCCGACAAGATACGAGCACTTCTTCCCGTCGCACCTTGGATGACATGGGATCTTTCGCCGGTCCAACTTCTAGGGAGAACTGTGGGTCTTGAGGCTCACACGCCCCGCTCAACTCTCAGATAGCCTGCGATTGAGCTGCCAGTAGTCGTCACAGTTGTCGCGGCAATCGTCGTCGTAGTAACGGCATGTAACGGCGACAATCGCATGTGCAGAAAAGGTAAGACCGTTGCCGTTGTGGTCGCAAGTGTAGTAGATAGTGCGACTACTCACTGTGCAAGTGTAGCGGTTAGTAGTCTACTCACTGTGAGACAGCAGCTGCTCGCGACAACGTCCAAAAATCGCAGTGCGACCGATGGGAACACTACACATGCGCCACACCTAATTTAACACCGCCATCTGAGCTTTGGTTTTTTTACAACCACAAGCTAGACGAAATTAATCCCCCTTCCGCAAAGCCCTTCCGCATCCCTTCCGCCGTGCGAAAGGGTGCTTCCGCACGGCTCTTCGAACCACTTGCTTCCGCAGAACCCTTCCGCGCTCGTTTTCGCTACACTACACTGTCTTTCCTTCCGCGGGTCGTGTTGTAGTCTTTGCGAGACCCGTTTTGTCTTACACCAACATTGGCACTCATGCTAGTACTGGTTCTAGTACTTATTCTGGTACTAGTACAAGTACTAGTAGCAGTAGCAGTAGTAGAAGTAGTAGCAGCAGTCGTCGTAAAAGCAGCGGCAGCAGCAGCAGCAGGTAGGAGTAGTAGAGTAGGAGCAGCAGCATGGAAGTTGTAAGCAGAAGTGATTTCAACCGCCGCCCGGACGGTAAGGGGGGTACGTACAGGAAGCCGGCCACACCGCTTCCCCCCCCCCCCGTTAGCTCCCCACGGGCCCTCTCACCTCGTGCTCGGCCTCGAACGGCGGTGGAAATTGAATAACCCGTCAATAGAAAGTAGCAGTCGTCGTCGTCGTGGTGGTGGTAGTGGTAGAAGCAGTAGTAGTAGAAGCAGTAGTAGTCGTAGTACCAGATAGTATCAGATAGTATCAGCCAGTTTCAGCCAGTGAGCCAGTATCAGCCAGTATCATCCAAGATCGCCAGTATGAGCCAGTTTCAGAACGAATATCACAGATAAATAGACAAAGTCAATAATTACTTGTCTGCCATCCACATGGAGCAGGCCATGCAAACAGCAATTGGGCCATGAGTTAGTTGATCCGGAAAGAGAGGGAAGCCTTGAAAAGCCTCAAAAGCCTCGACGATGCAAAGAGCAGATTCTGCTCTTTGCACCCGACATGAAGAGCGAACGTGTCAACGGCCCAACGACGTTCGTCCGTACCACATTATGATGCGGATGATGAAAGTGACGACGATCATCAGGATGATGATGATGATAGATCAATCAAGCAAACATGTGGAGGCCGTACTCCTTCCGCAAATGTCATGCCGTGGAATCTGCTGGAGTTTTCCCTAAGACGTTCGTACCGGAAGCACCAGATACAAAGCACCCTATTTAACGTTAACCCACAAATGGTGCGTCGGCCCAGATCTTCAAATCATGCATGCCCAAGCCGCAAATCACACGATCAGTACCGAACAGCGGTGATCCAGTGTTAACCATTTGGATATTGCTGAAGAGTTCAGGCAGAAGCACAGTGCGAAGGCCTCGGGCCAAACCATCCTAAACCCTGCCGGGGCACCGGGTAGCCGGCCCAGAGGTCAGGTAATGCGAACGCTTCCATGGCGTGTACGGCTTCGACTCGGTGTCTAAACGAGGCGGAAAGAAGTGGCTTCTTGAAATCTTCGGCACCAAGAAATTGTGGCTTTGGCTTTAGATCTCACATGTCAGAGTCGAAACTGAGGGTACCCAATGTTCGGGAGCATAATCTGTGCGAGTTCAGGAGTTGCATTTTGGGCTTCAGCACCTTGGGCTTTTCGCATGCGGATCGGAAAAACTTGTTTTGGATACCTATTTTAAAGGTCGGGCAACAGGGTAATTACGCGTAGCCTGCGCTGTAGCGTTCAGGTGGGTTTAGAGATTCTCGGCTACCAGTGGTGACGCTGGCAATGGTGCTTCTGGTGGTGTTCGTGGGTTCTGTTTGCCGTGGTCGGCTTGTGGGTGCTTAAAGGTGAAAACGAAGCACCGATCGAAGAATCTCGACAATCCGCAACGCAGAGCCAGCATTCAACGTGCACATCGTCATGATATAGCAAGCATAGCCCTGCCTGCGGCTTGGCTGCCAATGAGGGCCTGGTGCCCCGGGGCGGCGGCCTGCACAAGCTCGTCTGCAGATCTTCAATAACGAAGGCCGCGAAGCTTGAGGATGCTGCCGCAAGCTGTGCCTGCACAACGGGGGCGCCCCTGCGGCAGGCCACCTCCCGCATCCAGCGACTCGACGGGTTCAACAATCAATGGTATACTAGTGCACAACTGCGACCAAACGGCAAAGGTTGCCCGACCCGACCCGTGCAACCGGAAAGGTCAACAATATGGACCGGAGGTCTAAGTTTGTCTCCACATGATTAGCTGCATGAAAAACACAACCCCTCCAAAGACCGCTGATCTTGAGAAACTCCCGATGACCTCTATCGCTCGAAATATAGTAGGGCCATAATGGCGCGAAATACTTGGAATTGGGCTTGGGGGTGTATTGTGCTCTAACGTAATATAACATGTGAGCACTTGTTCAGGCTTCCCTGTTCGGGTTCTTTTCATCTAGACCGTTCAGTAACCCACTCGGAAAAAGTATATTCTGTTGGGTTAGTCACATTAGAGTAGGTCCCCGCTAAAGTAGAAAAAGTGTACCACTGAAAAACCTTGAAGATGTCGCCTGGCCCCCCGCCAGAGATGCAAGCATGCGGGCCACACCTCATAGAGCCGCTGTCACACTTTCGCAAGTCGGGATCCCGGTGGGAAGAACCACAAGCTTTCTAATCAGGTGGTCCGGCTGGAGCTACGGATACGTCCAAGAACGGATAACTTCGCACGTTCGTCTCATTTTCAACTGAAGCCTCTCGCGGTTCCGTAGCAGATCGAATCCCTACTTCGGGTTCTCTTGCCAACTGAATGCCTCATCCATCTGAGCCCCAAAGGCTGGAAATCTGTCAACATGGGCGAACCGGGAGATACGCGCAGCCACACATCACTCATCCTCGATTGTGAAGATACCCCATGCGCAGCCTCCGACTCGAATGTTTATCGACACGTAGGCCGTCAGGCCAAACCGCAAGCCTTTCAAACCCTCACTCCGCCAACTGAACTCAGCGCTAGGTTGTCCTGCGTGCTGGTGTATGTCGACACGTATGGCCGACAAAGGTCGTAGAAACATAAGCTGCGCATGTGGCTGTGCATTTGCAATGGTCTGTGTAAACATGCAGCAGATATATGTGCGCACATGCGCTGCAAGACAACTGGACGTTTAGAAACCCGCAGCTTGCAAATGTCAGCTCAGCACCGAAGAACCGCTCCAGGACACAGACTGCAAACAATTCACGCGCCAGACTGTGGCGGGAGCAGAATTGGCAGCCAGAACACACGCGGCACCGTGGCGGGAGCGGCGCGCCCGAAACACGCGCACGGTTGCGAAATTTGGAGAAAACTCCACACCGCGTCAACGGCAGGATTTCGAGACCACCCGCCACCAGCCCCGAGAAAGCTGATAGTGCGCCCAAAGCCCAAGTCTCGGCAGCTCACAACCCTCAGGATGCACACGGCACTGTGGCGCTGCGAGGCAGCGATCTCATCATTTTGTATGCTGTGAACCGCTTGTAATGCTGTTTGGGGGATTCTGAAACCTGTACCCACGCCTGGCAAAGCTTAGAGTAGAAACTCATCTGCAGCAGCCCGCCGAGTGCCCAGCGACAGGCTCAGAGGCTCAGACAGGGAGGGAGAAACAACGCTGTTGAGAGCCCAGAGGTGGGTGCGCAGACTGGAGGTGCTGCGTCCTACATTCCGTGAAGTGATCTCGCGAGAAAATATGCGTTGCATTCAACGAGGGTTTAGCTTGGTAATCGAACTGGCTGAATTTGGAATCCCGTCGGACTCCCACTGCAGGAACTTCATCACAACCCTGGCTCATGTAGCACCACATGCCTAGCGGGTTTCGCTGCATCCACGGCAGACTTAGCAGTTCCACCCAAGCTATATCCATGAGTCGCATGGCATGCCGCAGGATGATTTCTCTGCATGGAACGCAACAGCGCGCACCCACTTTACTCTCCGCGAATCATTCGTCGGGTGCTATCTCTTCAGCCTCAGCCGAAGCAGCGCCATTTACCTGCTAGGACATGCAAGTGCGATCGAGCTTCACTTGCATGGCAAAAGCAACGCCGCTCCGACTGCTGCTTGATGGCAAGCTTTTCTTGGACCAGCCAGTCATTATGCGACCTCAACACTAACATCAAGAACATGCCCCTCGGCACGACACAAGCTTGGCCGATGCATACATACATGTACATAAATTTATACGTACATGCGTGCATATACGCATGCCTACCATGCATCACACACCTAGGAAAGCAAGATAGTTCAGTATGTACGCATGTGTGTGTCATAATCATAATGTATACATTTTCTGTAACTCAGTTTATGTCTGCGCGTGCATTTCTGCATCGTATGTTGCTGAAATGTCTTGTATAAGTACGATTGCCTCTAAACCTTGGAAGGCCACCTGCCCCACGGTCCAGAAGCTAGCCGTCAGCCCTTCTCCCACTCTTGCTTCATTGGAAATCAGCCTGCGCAGCCCAGCATAGCCGGGACCCTACTACCCCAATCGCTTTGCCCATCCCGATGCCCGTCTAAGCTAAATAAGTCGAAGCCCCAAAACTGAGATCCCACAAACAAAAGTGCTGGTCCCAAATCCTAAAACCTAACCCATAGACCCTT